AGATGGGTACCAAATCGTGCAATATGTAATCCTATCATAGCTTTTTTTTAATTATCTAAAATGATTACAATACTTAAATTATTTACGTTAATGTAACTCGATTTAACTGAGTAAAAATTTATTCAGCAAAATAAGTAAATTCTACTTAAGATGCCGTAGGTAATATTTACTTAATAAAAATAAGGCAATTCTTTTCCTCAATTTTATTGAGTTATTTCGACTATTATTTTTTTACAGTGTAGCTGCCAAAAGGCGCTGAAATTAGTCGGGGAAAACTTCTTATCACGTATCCATTTACTGCACCTCGGTGGAGAGTGACAAATGTAGATTAATGTCTTACCAAAGGACAAGAGTACCTGGATGGGACTCGAACCGCGAACCATGTGACCTAAATCACCGTCCGGTCACGTACCGCTAAACCACGACACATGTACAGACCATGACATTAATGTCAAAAGATGTAGCAGGACTTAATACTAACCATGATGTGTTTATGAATATTGATAACCATGGAGATGTCTTGGTCTAGAGGTTCATTCAATAACTCTCAATCCAAGGGTCATTTTGGGGTTGAAATCCAAGCACGGCGCGAACGCCATTTATCAAGACATTAAGCCACTCTTACCACTCACAAACCAGGTGTAAATGAGTACCGGGTAATGCTAGGGTAATACAAATTACAGGTCCCGACAGAAGAAGGAGTATTTTGGCTACCCTGGGTAAATAAGACATAATAGTCATTATTAATACACGTCTCCCCCCCCCCCTCTCCTCCCCCGTCCTCATCAATCAGGAGAAAAATAAAGAGAGAAAAAGGAAGAGCAAGAAAAACCAGTAGAATATAAAATCAAGATCAATGACAAAATCCCAACCCCTATATCTAATCGATAATTTTTATTCATTCCTACTCCATCCACCTATACTAGTAAGCCTAGTATTATTGTGTTCATTTTTTTATAACATTATTTGTTGAGGGGTCCACACTCTGCAAGCAATGCTTTTTAGTGGAACCCTCCCCGTTTTTAACTTGACATATAAATATACAGCAACATTTTTGTCTTCTTCTTGATTTAGATTGTGTGATATGATTATCGTATAATTCCTTGTGCACGAATTATGAATAATATGAATAATGTCTTTTGTTATGCAAAGAAAAATAACATGTACACTTATGTATACTTTGTAAAATGCTGTTTGTAGTCCATGTAATTTATTTATTGTACATATTTTGTGTTTTTCTTGTTGATAATGGAATTAAGACTTGAACTTAACTTGAACTTGCCTCTCTCTCTCTCTCTCTCGCTCCACTCTCTCTCTCTCTCTCTCTCTCTCTCTCTGTCTCTCTCTCTCTCTCTCTCTCTTCCCCTGCCTGTCTGTCAGCACACACATATTGTCGCCAAGGTCTTATATTTAAAATGGCGGACAATGTTAAACCTGTTTGGACAAAATTAGTTCAATGATTTATGCAACTCAAAGTGCCTGGAGATACAGCTCACCGATTATCGATAACAATTCTCTAAAAAAAGGATGAATCAAAATGAAACTAAAATGTAAGATTAATTCACAGTTATGGCAGTGAACACGATATTATTAGTCAAGCCGGATGTTCTCTTTACAAATCTGATGTTTCTTTCATACCAGATTAATTAACTTTCTAAGTCTCATATTCACAGAGACGTTCCAGTGCTATGCTCTGTAAAAGTATAATTGTATTACTTTGATTAAAGCATTCAAAAGCAGAGGTACGGTCGAGTGCAAACAGGATCTCACATAAAAGAAAGAAAAATCGTTTGATTTACCGTCATATTTCACTTTAATGTAATTCTATAAAATGAACGTAAGATGTCGAACGTGCAAACATGTGCCGGTTTTCGTTTCCACAATAGAAGTCACGTAAAAGAGACAAAACGATTTGTGAACAATTTTTATTTTGTTGCAGTCCTACTCCATGGCAATACTATCTATGACGTATGATGTTGTTCCATATTCTGTTTTGGCTTCACATATTTCAATCTTTACTTCTAATCGATAATTGATACAGCGAAATGGCAGATCGAACATAATAAATTATACCCCTCCAGTATTCCATATTCAGAAGAGTTGACCAGAGTTTTTCATTACACATTGTACTCAATTCTTAACATCAATTACAAATGATAATTACTAAATTGTAGTATTAGCTGCAATAATATTGCGCATTTATCCAGCACATGGGATGCCCAAGGCACTTACAAAATACTATTTTACGCTGGATTTAGCCCAGCTGCCAAAAGCCTTAATTTACTTCACATCGGTTGAGAGTGGCAAATGTAGATTAATGTCTTGCCAAAGGACAATAGTATCTGGATAGGACTCGAACCGCAAACAAAGTGACCTTAATCCCCGTCTGGTCACGTACCGCTAAACCACGACACATGTACAGACCATGGTATCAATGTCGAAAGATGTAGCGGGAATTAATACTAACCATGACATGTTAATGCATATTGATAACCAAGGAGTCGTCGATGTCTAGAGGTTCATTCAATAACTCTCAATCCTAGGGTTGGAGGTTGAAATCCCAGCTAACGCTATTTGTCAAGACATTAATCCATTTTTACCACTCTCCAACCAGGTGTAAATGAGTACCGGGTAATGCTAGGGTAATACAAATTGCAGGTCCCGCCAGGAAGAAGGAGTATTTTTGCTACCCTGGGTAAATAAGACATAATAATCATTGTGACTACACGTCTCCCCCCCCCCCCTTCTCCCCCGTCCTCATCAATCAGGACAAAAAGAAAAAAGAACGAGAGAAAAAGGAAGAGCAAGAAAAACCAGTAGAATATAAAATCAAGATCAATGACAAAATCCCAACCCCTATATCTAATCGATGGTTTTTATTCATTCCTACTCCATCCACCTAAACTAGTAAGCCTAGTATTATTGTGTTTATTTGTTATAACATTATTTTGTAGGGGTCCACACTCTACAAGCAATGCTTTTCAGTGGAACCCTCCCCATTTTAACTTGACATGTAAATATACGGCAACATTTTTGTTTTTCTTCTTGATTTAGATTGTACGGTGGTATGATTATCGTATAATTCCTTGTGCATGAATTACGAATAATATAAATAATGTCTTTTGTTATGCAAAGAAAAATAACATATACACTTATAAAATCACTTATGTATACTTTGTAGAATGTTGTTTGTAATCCATGTAATTTATTTATTGTACATAATTTTGTTTTTCTTGTTGATAATGGAATTAAAACTTGAACTTAACTTGAACTTGTCTCCCTCTCTCTCGCTCTCTCTCTCTCTCTCTCCCTCTCTCTCTCTCTCTCTCTCGTTCTCGCTCCACCCCCTCTCTCTCTCTCTCTCTCTCTTTCTCTCTCACTCCTTCCCTGTGTGTCTGTCAGCACACACATATTGTCGCCAAAGTCTTATATTTAAAATGGCGGACAATGTTAAACCTGTTTGAACATAATTAGTTCAATGATTTATGCAACTCAAAGTGCCTGGAAATACAGCTCACCGATTTAATATCGATAACAATTCTTTAAAAAAAAACAAGGAATCAAAATGAAACTAAATTTATGATTAATTCACAGTTATGGCGGTGAACACGATATTATTAGTCAAGCCGGATGTTCTCTTTACAAATCTAATGTTTCTTTCATACAAGAATAATTAACTTTTTAGTGTCATATTCACAGAGACGTTCCAGTATTATGCTCTGTAAAGGTATAATTTTATTACTTTCATTACAGCATTCGAAAGCAAAGATATGGTCGAGTGCAAACAGGATCTCACATAAAAGAAAAAAAAATCGTTTGATTTACCGTCATATTTCACTTTAATGTAATTCTATCAAATGAACGTTATGATGTCGAACGTGTAAATATGTGCCGGTTTTCGTTTCCACAATAGAAGTCACGTAAAAGAGACAAAACGATTTGTCAACAATTTTGTTTTATTTTGTTGCAGTCCTACTCCATGGCAATACTATCTATGACGTATTATGTTGTTCCATATTGTGTTTTGGCTTCACATATTCCAATCTTTACTCCCAATCGATAATTGATACAGCAAAATGGCTGATCGAAGTATCGAACATAATTATACCCCTCCGGTACTCCATATTCAAAAGAGGTGACCAGAGTTCGTCATTACACGTTGTACTAAATCTTTAAATTTATTACAAATGATAATAACTTAATTTCATTAATAGCTGCCATTATATTGCTCATTAATTTATCCACCCCAGGAGTTGCTCAAGGCACCTCTAAAGTAATGTTTACCCTGGCTTAGCCCAGCTGCCAAAAGCCTTCATTACTTCACCTCGGTGGAGAGTGGCAAATGTAGATTAATGTCTTGCCAAAGGACAATAGTATCTGGATAGGATTCGAACCGCGAACAATGTGACCTTAATCACCGTCTGGTCACGTACCGCTAAACTACACACATGTACAGACCATGATATTAATGTCGAAAGATGTAGCAGGAATTGATACTTACAATGACATGTTAATGAGTAGCGATAACCAAGGAGTCGTCGAAACTTAGTGGTCCATTCAATAATTACTCTCAATGCAAGGGTCGGGTTGAAATCCCAGCTCGGCGCTAACGCCTCTTTTGTCAAGACATTAATCCACTTTTGTCACTCTCCAACCAGGTGTAAATGAGTACCTGGTAATGCTAGGGTAATATAAATTGCAGGTCCCGCCAGAAGGAGGAGTATTTTGGCTACCCTGGGTAAATAAGCCCAAATTTTCATTATTATTACACGTCTCTCCCTCTCCCTCCCCTCCCCTCCCCCGTCATCATTAAACAGCAGAAGAAGAAAAATACAGAGAGAAAAGGGAAAGAGCGAGAAAGGACAGGAGAATATAAAATCAAGATCAATTGACACAATCCCAACCCCTATTTCTTCTAATCGATGGTCTTTATTCATTCCTACTCCATCCACCTAGTAATTGCAGTAACTCCCCCCCCCCCCTCCCCCTCATTGACTCGGGCCACGCCACGCCACCGTCCATTAGCATTTCGCATTCTTGTCGTAGAAGGTGTTGCCAATGTTGTACTTGCTTCTAGCAAAACACAGAGCTGCGTTCCTGTCGCACTCGCACAGTGATTGTCGACAAGCGTCATTCTTGGAAGAATCTATCATTAAAAAAACGATAATAATCATTTTTTTCAAGGGGGCATTATATTATATCAGCGAGGTATACATTGCTTATCCAAATGAAGTCACACTTAGGATCAAATGTTTGGCAGAAGAAGTAAAATCAGAGGAAGAAGTAAAATAAGAAGATGAAGAAGAAGAAAAGGAAAAAGAAGAAAGAAAGAAGGAAAGAAAAAAAGAGGAAATAATCAAAGTTCAAGTAAAATCAAGATTGATTCTTTTGAGATATGTTTAGTGATTCATTTATTTTATTTTCATTTTTTTAATATTTTATTTCATTTATTTAGTATTATTTTTTATTTCTATTCTTATTTATTGTATTGTCTATTTATTATTTTGCGGGGGGAGGAGGTGAAAGGTTTTACTGTAGGCCTACTTGAAAAATGGGCAGGAAACCCCCACCCCCCTCCTCCTAAACACTACGCACTAATTTTGTCGAGTGTCATGCGATCATAATTATGTACAGTATTGTTTTTAAATGAGTTGCCTATTTACTATTCAGGTTTATGTTCCTATTCAACATACCTCGATTTTGCTTTGAGTTCTTATGTTTCGTTTGTAAATTTGTTTGTTTGTTTTGATGATAATCCTTCTATGTCGGCATTCAGATTTCAGTAAATTAATTTGAATTTGAAATCATAAAAGTCTTACCACACGTGATCGAGCTCGAGGCAGACGACCATGGCCATCGATATTTGCAGGTGTATTTGTAGGTAGTTAGGTAAACGATATCATTCCTGCAGACACCCGCTATGATTGAGTCGTAGCATTCATCGTGAATTTGGCAGCACCTAAAATGAATTAGTGAAAGAAAAATACGCAATTGAGAGAATAATGAGTAAGATGATTACCAGATTTCATGAAGATAAAAATTACCACAACTATAAATCCATGCATTAATGAAATGTAACTCTCCACGAAGAGGTGTACTTACAATAATATTAGGGGAAAGGGGAGCATCTAATGGCAAGGGGAAAATAGAAGACAGAGGGACGGAGCAGAGAGGGAGAGAGAGAGAGAGAGAAGGAAAGGAGGAACATGGGACATGGAAAGGACATGAAAAGGCGACACGATCCCCTCCCCCATTATATGGTCTTTCGTAGAACGGCCCCTCACCTTATGGCATAGTGCCTCTTAGTGGCTGGACATACGTTGCGCCATTGCTTACACATCTGTCGTCAAAATTAGATAATTATGTTGTTTTAAGCAAATGTTTAGATGCAGTTTTCTTCTGCTTCTTCTTCTTGTTATTTTTGTTTATATTTTTTGTGAGGAAATTTCCAAAGTAAACCTTTTTGATAAATATTCAAATCCAAGAGCACATTTGAACAAAAATATGGCGCTATATCCATTTTACCGCACATATTTCTTCTGTTAGCAAATCTATCCATATTCAATGTATCATTCCACTTCACCCCTCCCCTCTAGCTACTCGTGATAATATTCTAGTGACGCCCCCTAGTAAAGCTTACCTGTCTACACCATCTACAGGGGTGCCTTTGCCCCCTAGTCCACAGTGGCACCCGTAGTCGTTGAACAGGAACCCTGGTAAGGACGTGGCACATGTGACCATAACAGCAAACTGGACAAAGTTCTGCTCATCCACGCGCTGCAATTTACCTTCAGCAGAGGGAAAACAACGAACGATCAGTTTAAAGTTTTGTCAGGACTGTAATGAAAAAAAGTTCCTCACTTCGCCAAAAATATCAACGGAACATAAGTTTGGTTTACAATACGACTTACCATTTTCGGATGTCGTCCGAGCCAACAATAGCGACGTCATCACCAAAACTCTGAGGAGTAACTCCATTGTTTTAACACCGAACCGTTGAGATTAAATAGATCAATTAAAGATTTTTAATGAAAAGCGAAAGCCCTAGCTGATGCAAGATTAACCAGGCTTCCACATTGAGAGAGTGGCAAAGAGAATCACTTGATAAGTGAGATGGTTGATTGATAAAGAATATTATGTTTACATCTACAAATTTCACTTTTTTTCTGACCATACTGTTTAAAGTTACAATCGTGTACCCGCTACTGCTTCAGAAATCGTTCAATCATGATGGTGGTAGCCTTGCTGTCGTATAAGGTTTCGGGCATGTTTGACCTAGGCCATGAAATTCAATACTGAAATCGTTTGATCTTGGTTGTCATTGATATTTGTAAAATATATCATTTCATTTGTACTATTTCTTTATATTACATTGGTAAATCAAATACTGTAGAATACAGATAACACCTACCCCAACATTCTCTTTACTATATCATAGGGGTTACGTAACTTGATCGTGATTGGTTTAAAGTGAGATACCAGTATTTGCAATGCATGTAAGACGTGCTGTGATTGGACCGTTACAATTGATCTTTTTCATCCGTATTTTGCTACTGTAACGTTAAATTAATACATTAAAGGAATTGAACTGGGTGTCTATTTATCGATGTAAATTTAACTCTGTACATAACACAATTCTAATCGAATTAATATAATCAATAAAATTAAAAAATCACAAACAACGATGGTGATAATAATTATGATAATATTAATAATAATGATAATGATAATAATAATAATAATAATAATGATAATAATAATAATAATAATAATAATAATAATAATAATAACAATAATGATGATGATAAACAAAAACACTGTAATAATACTTATAATGATAACTAATGACAACATCATTAATGAGAGTAATTTTAAAAGAAAGTTACTGGCACCTGAAATTTGTTACTTAAATTGATGAATTGCTAAAAATATTCTTAATATCAATTTGATGATTTGATATAAGACAAAGAAGAGAAACATGAAGATAACATTCAACTCATAACATGTTATGTACACATACTTAAATTAGTAAAAACGTAGCATTATTATTTGACAGAATTTTACTAAATTTAAACGTGTTTGTGCATTATTGGAGTTAAAAAGCCACACACATGCACTCTCACACATCTGCAAGAATCTTCAGCAGTAAAGGAGGCAGATTATCTTGAAGAAGAAGAAGAAGATCCATTTTCAGTGTCTTTGGTCTTTCAATAAAATATTTACCGAGGAACAATTTTCTGTCTGTACGAAAGGCAGGACATACAAACAAGTTATGAAACTCGTCACCAAGTGATTGCAAATTGCAGAGCGTACATAAACTCATTTTCCGGGGACGACTGGGAGTATTTGAATATCTCCCGAATACAATCGGCAGGTGATGATTGCCACAGCGAAAACTACTTAACATTGTCCGGTCTCTTTTAATGAGATCGATTAAGATTCTTTCTAAACATAAAGAATGATTGAAGATTCGATTGTTAACACAATGTGAATTATCGTAAATACAAGCAGATCAATACTGGGCATGAAAATCTTTCAAACGACGTTCCACAGTTTGTTTAACCCAATCACAACAAGTATTTTCACAAATTTCTCATAAATTAGACGACCTTAAATAGGCCATTTTCGTAATGTAACCAAATTTAATACATAAGTCTTTGTGAAATGCTTCAATACAAGACTTATCTTATTCACTTGATAAGAATAATAATATGTCAATAGTCAGAATGCAAACTGCATAGATGTTTGTCCTACCTGGCAACAACTAATGTTTGCAGTTCGGATTCTGTCTATTGAAATACTATTATTTTTCCCAGGTGAATGAACTAATTTGTATTGAGGCACTTCACAAAGACTTATGCATTAAATTTGGTTACATTACGAAAATGGCCTATTGTCCAGATTCAGCTTGATTTTTTTCAACCAAGGTGCCTGATAGATATCCTGCCCAATGAGTAATGTTAGGATAATGTACACCTTACCAGAAAATGTCCACTATGTACAATCCTACACCAAAAGTTTATCATTCTGCTTCCGATATATTTCTCAAGTTTCAACCTCCCTAATTTACCAATTACCTTACAATTTGCGGTCGTTTTGCTCACAGAAGGGCTTGCTTACCAAATTTAAAGTGGAACTTATTTCAGGATAATGTAGCACTTCAAATCCTCAAATCTCACTTCCATAGAGCAGAATAGGGTGATAAAAAAGAAGAAGAAAATCAGGGAGAAACAAGCATGTAATCCACTTGTCAAGAGTACAATGAAATTGAGCTCATAAATGAGATCGAAACGACAGATGAGGGTTAAAAATGAGTGATTGCAACCACTATCACGTGATTTCTTCAACAATCTGCCAATTGAACAAGAATTTTCTTTGATTTGATCATATCTCTCTTTTCAATCCCCCACCCCTCACCTACATTATTGGTGTATTTCCTCTCCTTCTGCCTATATTTTCGACACCTGCCAATAATGGCAACTGTTGCCAATAGACGTCGCCCACCTTCCTACGTAGGTTTCTATCACCCAGTGCGGAAGAAAAGAGTGAGTATGCGTTTGTGTGTGCGTGTGTATGGTGTATTCGAAGGAGAAAAGAGCAAGTATCGAAGTGTCAGAAATGGTGATGGAAGTCAAGGGAATGCCAACATCACATCCAAGAAAAAAACACTAAAGGAGGAAGGGGAAAGAGGGAAAAGAGGGGTCTTCTATTTTCGTTCTCTGGATGTCAAATTTCCTTTCTACCGTCTAAACGCGAACGCCCGAATGCGCGTAACCATCGGAACATATTTCCGCCCCCTTTTGACTTGCTCCCATTAACCGATTGGGCATTTATCAGACAACTGATACTGTATATTGCAAACTCCTAATTTGTGGGTTCACTATGACATGAGTTTCTTAAAATGATTGTATACAAAAAACCTGATAAATCACCAACAAACAAAACACCAACAACAAGAAAGGATTAAACAGCTCTAATAATTGACCATTACTTTGACTTGTCTTTAGTTCATTTAAAGTCTGTCATTTTAGGGGCCGGTACGATTTAAGTTCTAATTCAGACCCCGAATCTCCTCCTTCGGTAGTCGTTCACAAGATATATCACCCGTTGCGATTAAAGGGTCAATGTTATTTTCCAACTTGTTCTCCTTTCATCAACAAATGTTAATTAACTCAAGTATGTCAACTATTTGCCAAGTAAATTTTCGTTAGCTGTTTATGAATGTTTTTCTTTCGGCTATGTAAACTAATTAAAACATGCATTTTCTATTGGTTACTTAACCTTGATTGGCGTTATTGAAGCACAATAGAACTTGCAAAAACCCGAAAACATCCTGGTTCAATTAACAGTAATTATTTTGCGAAGGATATGCATTGCAATACAACCGTGCTTGAGTAAACGGATACACAATCGTGGCAATTATCTCTTCTTTAAAGCCGAAAATGCAATGCAAACAACCAAATATCGTTTGAAGTGAGTTTGTCTCCATAACAAGAGTAATTGAATTGATGTTTTGTGATCGTGAGGTGGTACTTTCAGATTATGGGTTGACAGACCAAACATGCTCTGTGATTTTTTTTTTCTCTCTCTTTTTGCCGCCCACATTCATATATTTTACGTTTTTCTATTCCTGCATTTTTCCCCTTTTCATTTCTCTATGTATCTCATTCTAATTCTATCCCTCTGCGCCTCAGAATAGTTTACTAGATCGATGGCGCATAATAAATGCTGTATTATTATTATTACATTTGCATCATGGTTGAGAGAATATTTTACTCTTGTAATGAATATTTATCCTTTTAGATTCATTGATAATTCTAGTGCTTAAAATGACCCACTGTTTTACCTACAATTATTACTTTGCAACATGGAAATTGTTAACAGTTTTCGAATTCATGTAAGTGATCAAAAGCCAGATGACCAACAAGCAATGATGTTAGTCAAGCAATCCATTTTTTTTTTTACAGTTTTACTTTTTATTGGAAACCTGTAAAATAGCTTGTCAGGTAGCATGTCAGGAGTAGGTCCCCATAGTATACATTCTAAATTATTTTCTTAATGAATAACCAGTGTTTTATCATTATCTAAACACCACGTAAACCTTTCGAGGACAAGATTGATAGAATCATGTCGAATATTAAAGACGATTGGGGTGAAATTTAGATGAATAAGGTTATCCATTAGGAAGAACGGGTGTCCGTATCATATTTTAAAACATCATTGTCTCCTCTGTACCCCCGTCTTTATCTCTCTCCCTCTCTCTCTCTCTGTCTCTCTCTCTCCTCTTTTACTGTGGTTCGATTGTGAAGGGGGAGGCATATCCCCTATGCCCCTGTAGCTACGCCATGGACCATAGTGGAAGAACAATGTCGTCAAACGCCACTGAGCGATAAAAAAAAAGCCAGCCTCCCTAAAGTCAATCAGCCGGCTCTACCCTAGATCGAATGCTTGGGAATAAGCGAGATCTCTCAGGTTCGCATCTCAAACCCGGTTCGGTTTACAAATTACACCTTGCGGCAGTTGGTGCAGGACCAACCAGATAAACAGTGCGTCCCAGAAAGAAAGAAAAAAACGGGAATTATCGATGTTTTATCATACTTACTCAGAATTATAATTAATAAATGACACATATTTGTAAAGTTTAGATCCTCCTCTTTCATTTGATGCAACTCATATGATCCATATTTCACACATGAGTGATTAAAAACAATTTGAAGAGAGGAAACCAAAAAGTCATTTGGCGGGCGGTATCTGAATTTCAAAGAGAAAATCACATTTTTAGAAAGTTCATTTTCTGCCCTTTCATATTGATTATTGGTTATTGGTTATTGGTTATTTGTGGTTATTTTACCTGACTGCTAAGTAACCAACCAGACGGCTGACGGCTTAAGGTCCTCTCTTAGGGGCCTGGTAATGAGGATTAATGCCTTACCAAAGGGCACTAGCGCATCGACTTGGTTTCAAACCCCATATGACACCTCAATAAGGAAAAATGAGCCAGGAATAACAAAGTTCTGTTTGTTTAAAGTAATGCTTGCATTTCCATAATTTGATTAAACGAATTCGTTTTCACTGGCTGTCTGCCGTAGCAACAAACAGAGTTGACAAAAGACTCAATTCCGTTTCGTTGATGATCAGCCATGCACCAAGTCTTTCATCTTCTTAGACATGATGGGTAGAAACAACATCTTCCCAAGCTACCTGGGCTGCCTCGAGACGACAGGGTATATTGGCCTTGCGATGGCCTTCGTTGGGGACTCGGCAACAGGAGAGTCGTGGACTCTGGAGCGAGGCATGCGAGAGTTTGTACTGAGTACCAAGCAGTGGTGAGCAACTTGCATGGTTGTATCAAAAATTATAATTAACAAACTAGTAACGTTGTCAAGATTACAAAGACAAAGATCTAGTGCACTTAAAATGGTACAGTACATTTACAGAATTCGAAAAGTAAAGTACCTGGTATGAGAAATAATGGGGAAAATATACACATACTCGTCTTTGTCAAATGCATTTATTCAATAAGTAGATACTTTGTGAATATAAAACATATATATCTCTATTTACAGTTGACTAGATCTTTTATACAGAAAGACATCATTTGATAAAGAAATCAAATTGTAGTACAGTGATTTATCTTAAAGAAATGTATGTAGATATGCAGTATAGACAAGTGCTTGTAGTGCATACAAGTTATGAACCAAGAACTTGAATCATACCTTTCCTCATGGAAAGTTATATTCATGTGACAAAATACAGAAATATATCTAAAGGTAATATAACAAAATAACATTTTCAGTTATAAATGACCTAGAGTAATTAGAATAACTGTTCTATGATAGGCATTGCAAACAACAATATAACGAGCAACAGTTACTTTCCTCAAATCTGCTACTTAATGTAATCATACTTTTTGTTTAAATTACCATTTTCAAATAAAACTTTCACTCAATGAACATGTTCATAATATTAGAGGTGAATTAGGCAAAGTATGAAAGCCAATTGATACAAAAGAGTGTAAAAAACTTAAGGCATAATTCATTTATTCAAAATGAAGAAAAAAACATTTTCTTCACAAACAGTTCAATATAGTAAACAAGTGTAAAAATAAAATGGATTATCTGCATTCTACGTTTGTAAAATATTAACTATCTTTACAAAAATAACATGGATATTGCACTTGTAAAACTCCAATTTGTCAGTATGTTATTCACTTTGTCAAAAGAAACATAAATCTAAAGTTAATTTCAGTTTTCTAGACCTAATACTCCTAACCATCAAAACATTGTTCACTTTGTAAATTTTCGCTGGCTATTGAATAACAAACAATCACAAATCACAGAGGATAAATGGGTCTGTTTTTTCAAAATTTTCAAAATTTCAAAAACACCAAATATTGTGAAAAGTTGATCCATTTCCAAGACAAATGCCCCAAACTGACCCCTAATAATGGGTAGGGGTTTCGAGGCTTAAGCGGCACTCCCCCCATCCAAGCCAAATCTGAGTTCTCCCCCCCCCCCCCCCCCCATCTCGCCGGGGTTGTAACAAGAAGGTCCTGGGTTTAAAACTGAATTGGTGTGCTAATGCAGGAAAAAAACCAAAGGTGCCCAACAATTGCCACATGCTCTACATATTTGTGAGGCACATTACACTTTAATAGGTCATTCTATTTTGCTGCAGTGATTTACCGCATGTCTAATACCCCATTCACAGTGGCCTCAAACACCGCGACAGCAGCGGGACTGTCCCGCTGCTGTCGCGGTGTTGTCTTCAGTGTGAAGGCTCGGACCCGTTATAAACTATCGCGGGATAACACCGCCTCGCGATAACGCCGCGACAAACTATCGCTAGTTTCGCCTAGCTACAGCAGCGGGACAGCCCCGCTGCTGTCGCGGTGTTTACTCAGTGTGAAGGCTCTCCGCTATAACACCGCGACAAACACGTGTGATTTGTTTACTTACCTATCACTGACCTCTTTTCTCCAGCAATGGGGAACATAAATTGAAATAGAAATAAAGTAACCAGTGGATTCAAATTGATTTTATTATTATGTAGATATTATAATTATCCAAATAAAAATATTTCACACTTCAAAAAATTAAAATATTCTGACTGGAAGATGCCTTCTTCTTCTCCTCCTTTCCCTTCTTTCCATTTCATCACGAAACGAATGCTGCACTCGAGCATAGTGAACTAAAATATTGCGATTCGTTCTCTGCAATTCCAGTAGAATGAAAGCGACAGCAATACGTAAAAGTATAGATAGATCCATAGCTAAATCGAGCTAGCTACATGAGGAAGAGTGTGTAAAGTACAGCTAGCGCGCGCAATTTCAAGCAATCGAAAACCCCGCGCTGAAGTATTTCCGGTCATATCGGGGTCACTCGCGGGTCATGAGCCATGCATACACGTGTTTGTTACGGAGATAATAAAAATCACCCGCTGCAGCGTGAATGGGTACATGATATTTATCCTGCTGCTGCAGCGGGATAACTTTTCTACTGTGAATGCATTTGTAGCGGTGTTATGGCGGTGTCGCCGCTCCGCTACAACGCCGCTACAAATTTCAAAACCACTGTGAATGGGGTATTAGCAAGGCTTTAGTCTTTTACTAAGCCTCATAAGCATCAATGATGTTCTTCCTTAGGGCCCTGCAATTATTATTATACCAGCAATTGCCAGGTACCCATTTACACCTGGGTGGAGAATGGTAAACGTGAATTAATGTCTTGCCAAAGGACGTTGGTGCCGAGCTGGGATTCGAACTCTCGACCCTAGGATTGGGAGTCAAGTGAATGAACCACATACCATGCTACCTCCGTCTTCTGAAATGATTCTCTTGAGATGCAGCATAACATTCCTTCCAAGAATCTCGTGCACGTATACGCAGCCAAGTTCTTACTCTTTATTTCTACATCTTCAATCCTCCTTCACACAAAACTTAAGCATTGCCTAATAATGTTTTTAAATTCCACATCAAAAAATTACTGAAGTACAGTGTGTTACATATTTCTTTACCTTGTAATACACAGATAAGCATGTAAACTCAAGGGCCTCTTTAACAAGGCTTAAGACTCTGAAAGACGCATAGTAGTAGTGGGCTCTCATTGGGAATTCTACACCATTCCGGTGTTTACCCAATAACAGGTGTTGTCAACCACCAAGAATTAGCCTTCAGTTTTATGACCAACATGCCTTATGAAATGCTCTGGATTTTCCACCTATCCCTTATATTGTAAAGTCATTATATTATATTTTCCTCACCCGAAGAATCTCTGAGAGACTAGAGGGTGTTTCTTGATGGGACTACAGATTTGCTGTGTGCAAGACTTGTACATCGATTAGTGGTAATTCCGCCAAGTCTGGTGTCAGCGAATTATGACCTTCTGCACATGGAAACTGATGGCCATCTCCCTTTAAGACGAGTGAGTACTAGTATTTGATTGCCGGAAGTAGAGTCAACAATCAACTTCATCATACAAGTATGAAACCGCATGAATATGTACGGTTACATTTTTTTCGACGCTGATCCAACGAGCCAGTCAACCCCCTCTGAAAGTCCGCTGAGAGAGGACACATCACAATCCACAACCTGAAACAAAGCCAAAGTAAATTGTTGTTAAAGGTCATACAAAGTTTTGATATGGGGTCATGAATTTGGTCCAAATGAACATATTGGAAGCACATGCGAGTTTACAATATTCAATGATCGTTGTCGCCATTGAAATGGAGTCTAAAGTGATGAAATTGTAAATAATAAACTCTTTATGTTGTATAGCTCCTTCTCAAGACTGATATTACTTTAAAACAATGTTTCTCGACTGCAATCGACTGATGTGCTATTCCCGTTTGGAAATTATATATCAGAACTGCATATTATGAGATTTTCATGGTTGAAGCTACCATGGAATGGCTTTAGGCGCTATTTGAAATATTTGAAATTTACCAGGTGCACCGCTAAATTTTGATTATTCAATTTGCTCGAAAGCAGAAGTGTTTTAGAAGCTAAATTTTCTAATGCTTATAATACATCCACAGGGGCATCCAAATATTTCACAATGTTACAAAATTACTATCCGTCCAATTTTCCAAATTTTCCAAAACTTTCCATTACCTTTAAAGGTAAGCATCAACTGCCAGGACCATTGGCAAACTTTGTACCATAGTAATATAAATTTCAAAATGAATTTTAAGATAAAAAATACTTCATTGGGTTCAAGTAACATTTACTGTGTCCCTCCTTCCTTGCATGTGGATGACACTGCCTTCAAGTAATGGCTGGATTATAATACTAGATAGGCATTTACATGTACATGGGTTAATTGCCATTTGGCCTACAAACAGTTTGTCTTCTAACCAATTAGTCTATTCCCATAATGGTCTACTATCCACATGGTCCAATAATAATTGTGCATACTTATCATTTGGTCTAATGACCATGTAGACAAATAGCCATTTGATCTAATTTCCATATGGTCTAATCTCCAATTAGTTTACTACCCATTTGGTCTACTATTCATCTGGTCTAATCTCCAATTAGTCTACTACCCATTTGGTCTACTATTCATCTGGTCTAATCTCCTATTAGTTTACTACCCATTTGGTTTACTATTCAATTAGTCTAATAACCAGTTAGTCTAATTCCCAGTGTGTCTAATGCCCATTTCATTTACCATCCATAAGGTCTAATAATCATGTGTGGTTATTATTATTCATGATTGAATGGTTATTAGACCATATGGATAGTAGGCAACATGGGGATTAGACAAACTGGGAATTAGACCGACTGTAGACCAAGTGGCAATAAACCTTTAAATCTAACCAGTCAAACCAAGGTCTCCTCTATGGGACAAACCTACCTTCCAAGGTCGCTGAAGCTTTTCCAACGACAGCTGGTCTGCTATCCTCACGCAAGGTATTCTGGGAACGTCTGGGTTTGCCACGCTGGAAAGGACTAGGAGGGGTTTACGATCTGGCGTCCATCTTGAATCCATGAAGGCAAATAGTTCAGGTCTTCCTGAGCTGCAAGAACCTGATGAATGAGAAAAGAAATTCACATTGTCAGATAACATTAAATTTAAAATTAAAATACTGCTATATGCTCAAAAGAACTCATTATTTTAATTTGATATGGAAAAATTTCATTGCTGGTGTTGATCATTACATGACATTAAGGTTAAAATAATCTGGATTTAAATAATGCTTTATACAAAACGATGTCTCTATTAAAGCACTTTATAGACATTATTACTCCACTCATGAGATTATTTCGCACAAAATGTGTACCATCTCAACTCCCTGGGGAGTATTTCTACTATATGGTCACCTTGAGGGCATATGGAAATTACTAACACACGCTTCCGCCATACTACAAGGTCCTTATTTCTCTCCTAAAATGTCAAATGTAAATTAAGGCCTTGCCAAAGGACATACACTGTAAGTGCCATGATGGGGATCGGACCCATGACCTTAGCATTTCTAGTCAAGTGCTTAAACCATGCGACTCTGACACCTTAGAATTTAGACATCAGTTAAGGTCAACGTTTGACTTAATGATTGGCTGGCATATGGTTTTTAACGTGCTATCATAACTTGCGCACAATTATAATAGCACGCTTTTAATGAGACGCGTTAATTGCGCATTACTTTTGATTGAACATGTGATGTCACAATGTTTATCTATATACCGGTACTTAAACTGCCTGCGCGCAATGGCCTATCCGGATTGATTATTCGTAGCCTGTCTGTCACCAGTCTGTCACTGACGTAAATGAAAAAACTAGATTTCTAAAATCTAGTTCATGGGTCTGGATTTTTCTGTGTGACACCGCCTTACAGTGTATGTGAAGAATCACCTGGCATGAGTAAGTCCACAGGAGTGGATTAAAGCTTGAGGTTGGTAGAATCCTAAACGACATGTAATTTTGATTTGTTCAAACTTATGTCGGGTCAAACATCCTCATACGGGCATATCCACACACAGTAGTGCGAATTTTGCTCCTGGGCCAATTGCACCATGTTCATTTCTTTCAGTATCCAAATTCTTAACTTCAACAATGGATCCAACAAAGTATCTGACGCTTACCCTAACTCTAAACCTATTGCCCAGTTAAAACCCTAACCCTAAACCTCACCAGTTACCCAATTACAACCCTAACCCTTATTCTAACCCTAAACCTCACTTATTACCCAATTACAACCCTAACAGCGTCTATTACCCACTTACAACCCTAACCCTAACCCTAAACCTCACCAATTACCCAATTACAACCCTAACCCTCGTCTATTACCCACTTACAACCCTAACCCTAAAACTCGTTTATTACCCAATTACAACCTAACCCTAACCCTAAACCTCGTCTATTACCCAATTACAACCCTAACCCTTATTCTAACCCTAAACCTCACTTATTACCCAATTACAACCCTAACAGTCGTCTATTACCCACTTACAACCCTAACCCTAACTCTAAACCTCACCTATTACCCAATTCCAACCCTAACCCTAAACCTCACCTATTACCTAATTATAACTCTAACCCTAAACCTCACCTATTACCTAATTACAACCCTAACCCTAAACCTCACCTTTTACCTAATTATAACTCTAACCCTAAACCTCACCTATTACCTAATTACAACCCTAACCCTAATCCTCACCTTTTACCTAATTATAACTCTAACCCTAAACCTCACTTATTACCTAATTACAACCCTAAACCTAATCCTGTTAACGTTGGATTAACTCATGTGCATGTATCATTTCTCAAAGGACTTCATTTTACTTTAAACACTTTTACAGACAATCTGTTAATACAGACTACTTCTCCTAGTTCCATCGGGCAGTACAGCCTGTATGCATTACCATTATTGATCTCCCAAAGATTCTTAGACACTCTGAAAGAATTTGAAATTTTTGTAATGTAATAGAATTTAATGCAAACGTCTGTTAAGTGTCTCCTTTTAATAGGAAATATTTCATTCACCCACTATGAATAATTGTATTTAATTGCAATTATTATTTGTTGCTCAGGAGGGCACGCCAAGTTTATCCAAAATAGCAACAACTGATGTATGCGATATGCAATCTATCGAGATATATGATAATTTGTAACAGGTGAATGGAACAGCTTGTTGCCAGGTAAACATGGAGATGTCACTGAACTATGAAGCACATGGTACAGGGTTCAAGTCCCTGTCATGGCACTCATGTCTTTATGTAAGACATTAATCTACATTTGCCTCTCTCCACCCAAGTGAAGTAAATGGGTACCCGTGAGCAGTTACTTCCTAAAAGTGTGCTGTAAAAGGAACAATGCTGAAGCTGGGATCAAAACAGTAGAGTGCCAGGCAGGAGTATATGAACCCACTATTAATAAATATAAATACATTTTGGGAAATGGTCTACCAAAATGGTAGAAACCCTCATACCTTGGTTTATCTGCTGCGCTGCATCAACTACAAATATAAAACCTCCCACCACATGACACATAGACTTGACATGATCGTTAGGTTCAAAGTTCAAATAATCATCCTCTGCGGTCACATGATTTGCAGCAGCCTCATTCCCATCACGAGCAGCGCCCTCTTCAGAGTCAGCTCCTTGGTTTGGAGGTGAAGTGCGCTTGATGAGCTTACTCATTCTGGGCTGATTAGAATCCCTGGCTTCACGTTCTTTCCTGTCATAGAAAATTATCAATTAAATAAAATCATTTACAGAAATGTTATTAATTAGTTTGAAACATTTCAAATAAACAATAAGATTGAAATTTGACATATCTTCTTAGGTCCCCTCGTTAACTCTTTTAGAAATTTCTGTTTTCCTAAAGAAAAATTTTCAATCATACATAGTCTATGCCCTAAATATAATTATTGCAAATGTGTTTATATATACAACCCCTGTATGAAACAAATCTATTCTGTCATCAATAACTATAAAAATGAAAGTTGATGACATTTTTCTGTGTAAGGTAGAACAAATTGGAGAGGACCTCGCAAGATATGAGAGTATGAGACAGTGTTGTCACTTTGTGTTTCACGGATGACAACTTCAAAAGCATGTTTTCTAAGCATTCAGTTTAAACATTGATCAATCATCATCAAACTTTCCTATTTTTAATCGGATATTGCTCAAACTTTTACTAATTTGTTTCTCTCATTTTTCCCCTGCTTTTAGCAATACAAGGTAACTATCAGGGAGGACTTCCCCTTCAGTTACCCGTGATCTGTTTACTAAGAATACTTTACCTTGTAGCTGAGTAAAGGACCACCAGTCTCAACCTGCTCTTGTCATTCACTGTCACTTCAAATCCTGTTCCAACACCTGCAAAGATATAATAATAATAATAATAATAGATATGAGAACATTCTTCATTACAGGTACATGTATAAGCGCATCTATACTAAGCTGACTGTTTAACAGGCACTGCAACTAAAAAAGCCAAGTAAGAGCTCTAGTATTAAATTACAACATATTTTGTGTGCTTGAGCTCTTGGTGGTGCCAGCAGGATGTTGAATCATATCATTTTACACAGAGTTAACCCTTACTGTACTGGGCTATTTTGAGCACCTGTACAGGCCTCCCAGGGCCCCCCCCCCCCCCCCACCCCAGTACAATAAGAGTTAATGCCCTTCTTGCTTTAAACAGATGATGATTTTTTAATTTGCTGGAGCAAAGATCTCACGTAATAATAAATTAATAAAAAGCTACTATGAACAATTTTTAATGTTTTTACACAATCAAACAGGTTCATTTATCAAAGGGTTGGCAATTTCCCAGGAAATACTGGGAAATAACGGTACTCGGAAGCGTACCATTGAAATTGTATAATGTGAAATAGCAAAGTTCTCACATAGGTTAATAATATATTCATAAAAAGCTACTATGAACAAAGTTTTTGTTTTTACACAATCAAACAGGTCCATTTATCAATATTTACAAACTACCTAGATACACTGGTAAACAGGTTTATTAAATTGGTAACATTCACAAACTACCTAGATACATGTACACTCATAAACAACTTCATTAAATTGGCAACTTTCACAAACTACCTAGATACACGCATACACAACTTTATTAAATTGGCAACATTCACAAACTACCTAGATGCACGCATACACAACTTCATTAAATTGGCAACATTCACAACTACCTAGATGCACGCATACACAACTTCACTCAATTGGCAACATTCACGAACTACCTGGATACATGGCTGGGAAGACACCGTTCACTTTAATGATGTTGGAGCCGTGACCCGTGATAAACTTGCGGACGATGCTGGAGGTGTCGGTCTCCAGGCCAGGGCCGAACATGACGATGATGGGGGTGCGACGGGGAAGGAATGACCAAAGAAGTCGTGGGATGGATGCAAGGTTAAAGGTCGGATCACGCTGCAGCTCTGGATTACATTTCATGTAGCTAAAAATAAAAGAGCATGTATAGATGTTATATAGGTATGGTAAAGAAACAGGAGCGTTAACTTTTAAGTGTACAAATCACCTGAACGAATAATTGTCTGTAAGTAGAGTGTATTAAATCAACCTCTACCTTTTGTTTACCTGGCATAATGGTTTAAGAGTATGAGGGAAATAAAGAACAACTTAAAACCCTGCATCTCGTGTTCCATGCATGTATGTGTTCGTTAACAAGAAGTTTTTTCTTGCACTGGGAGTGTATTTCAATGGTAATATCACTTTGTGAAAATATATTTGAAGCTGATAGTTGACTACAGTATAGCCACATGGAAGTCCTAGCTTACATCAAGAGAAAAACATGTGTTGGTGATTGGTACAATTTAAATGTCAATATAAGTGCAATAAACTAGCTACATTAAAAGAAAAAAATCTCACAGATACAAGTTTGAAATAACACTGAAAAAACAGCTGTGTTCCAGTGAAACGGCCTACTCTGAGAAGTGCTCCATCTACAACTCTGCACCATGAACTTACCACATTCCCCCTTGGAAATTATCATCTACACACATAAATTGTAGGCTATTATAAACATATTGATTGCTTTGAGGGACATGGTTAAAACTATTGCCACATATACATGTAGTTTTCACTGTACATGTAACTTGAAATAATAAGCCGTCAGTGTTTGTTTTATACTGCATCCCGCTTGCGAATACTTTAAAAAAAAGATTATTTAAAATTAATTCATCTGCAGAGAAATTGACAACTATGAAATGCAGTATGCATGTTGTCTTACTGTATCCATTGCTAAATTCATGCCCACAAATTGCGTCCTTCATTGTACGCACAAGTTCATATAATATGCGTTATATAATATTAATTATTCCTCTTGATTTCCATGCAAACAGCTCATAAAAACTATTCTTTACAAAAATAAATTCAAAAGCAGCGGACTAGTCACTAATTGATACAATTTTTCTGACACCTGAATAGAAAATAATTAGAAAACGAAATTGACAGAGGTGGTAATATATAGGGAGAGCAGCAGCAATGAACAGTTTTGCAAAACTCTCCTTGCAGTCTGTCAACTCTCTTTGCAACTTATTGAAAAATTTGGATTTGGATCACTGGTGGGTATAAAGAAATTGAGGGAGGGGGGGGGGGCAAGTATGTTTAGAATATCTGATAAGAATACAAGAAGTGTACCAAATATCGGAAAGGGGCATAATATTATGTCTTCAAGAATATTGAAAAAATATCTGACAAGAAGAGACAAAAATGGAGGGATGACGTACATGTATCAAAAATATATTCTCCTGAAGCAACGGAGCATAATGATTGAAATGTCAAGAACTTCAACCAACAACTCTTACTGGAGCACAGTACACCAGCCCTTTCACAGCTCTTATTCCTTCAAAAGAATTATAAGGTGACAACTTTACCTACAGAGCAAAATATATATTGATATACTGTATATTTAAGGGGTTGGGCTAACTCAGACCAAAGGCAACTCGGCCCAGCTGCAAAAACAGTCAGTATTTGCAGTGTAAGGGTTAGAGTTAGGGTTAGGGTAAAATGGCAACAACTGACCGTTTTTGCAGCTGGGCGGAGTTGTATTTGGTCCGAGTTAGCCCGGATTCATATTTAATCACTTATTTTCCTGCAAACTTACATGTCCTTATAATCGATGTCTTCTCGGGTGGTGGCCAAGTTGGAAGGATAGGTGCCATGGCTGACCTCTGACCACTTGACCATGTCCTTATTGAGGACAGACTTCCAGAGATGCTGGTCACTGCAGAAGCTATTACATTGCCTACAGGTCGAACTCAGACTGCAGATGTCTTTGGCATCGAGGTACTGGAGTATGTGAAGAAACGCTTGCACCTAGCGGAAAGAGAAATAGATGGATTTGATGATTATCATACAATGATTTTCATCTTAGAAAGGCTGCATTGCAATAACTGTTCACTTGACAGAATGAAAATACCCCATTCAAAGTCAAATTATAAGCATACTTATTCACTAATGAATTAATGAATAAGAGTATGATATATTGATATAATCATATTAGTCAACAAAAATCTTTAAATACAGCTCAATAAGCCTAAAAGAATGTTGGGTGAGAAATGTATAGTCTGTAGGCCTATCCAGTATTATATGTTTATTTTGATCACACAACTAGAAGCATACGTATATACTTGCCATGAATCCGAGAGATCAAATATCCCTTACTCTATTTATCTTTTATTTCGCCTTTCAGATATAATAAGATGGGTGTTTAATACAAGCACGCATATCATACATATAACTGCAATAGGTAAGTGAGAAATAAGAGATTGAGATAAAAAGTGGTCTCAGCTAGAATATTGATTATTTTTAAAGAATAAAATAAAATATTTTTGAGATAACATATCATGCACAGAAATGACAGAATATACCACCCCAGATTGGTTGCAAAGAAATTGAATATACAGTTTGCAGTTACTTACAGGAATGTTTAGAAGTCCAGCCTCTTCATCATCTCCATGGCTACAGCATCCCTGTTCAGAGTAAGCATCATGATCATCCGTCTCCATTTCAGATCTTCCATCATTACCTTCCACTCCTGCGGGCGATTCCATGGCGAAAAGGGACTTGCACTGTTGAGGTAAACCAGATACATGGATGTTCATCTTCAAAGTTTGGACGTGCTGTGAAAGCTGGTCGAGGTCGAAGAAACTACCAAAGCCGAGTCCAGCTGGTTGGCAGGCGTGCCTTGCTAAAGCTTCTTCTACTTCACGGACGGTATTTTCATCTCCAAACATAGCGACTAAATCTTGACTCAATTTTGTTATAACTTCAATTGAATAAGTTCAAAATATGGTGGTGCCTTATGCTGATAGTTAATTATCATAAAAAACATACATACAGCATACAACAGTGAATTATACACTAAAAACTTGAAGTTAACAGTTTAGAAAATTATAATGACATGATTATCCTTTTTTGTCATCTAAATCTAGTCTCCAACTCCAACGTCTCCAAACTAAGGCCGACTTTGCTTTATATAATAACCTTTTAATGTAATTTGTGAAATATACACAAATTCCGAGATATAAGTAAAGTTCACACAATAGCTTTCAAAGACAAGATAATTTGCACAATGTCTCAATGTATGTCTACAGATTAAACAACTTTTCGATAGACAACAGCCTTGTCTGAATTCTGAAAGCGATGTGATTGCCTTACCTCCCGTCCTGGCTCCCAGCTCAGCTACCCGTTCCTGCTGGCGCAGAATGTTTGAGTCACCCGGTAGTTGTCACCGATGACTCGTACGCAGTTACACGTTGGAAGATATTGCGTAATCAAGCAGAGGTTGTGTTGCGACGAATGCTCACCGTCGACTGTACTGTCGATGTCAAAACCGTTCAAAGCCGATTTTCAGCAACCTCAGAGAAAAGAAACTATTCAAAAGTTCAGACAACTGTAATGACTATAAAGGGTTGCTAATAAATTATAATTAGTGAAACAGGCATTATATTTATCGGCGGTCTGAGAGTTAAATCATATTCATACGGGTTCATCAGCTCAGATCAAGTGCTTCCTCAATGTGCAATGTACGTATACGATACCGGAACTACCACCTGCTATGTGCACGAATAAACGTAACATAATTATACTGGAAACTGTTGTTGTATTATATCAGGACAGATAAAGTCACATCTCCCGGCAATCAGTCTAGATGACTAGATTGTCACCACCTTTGTTTTTTTAATATGAACTTTATAACATTTAATTGAGTTCACTCGATCTTTTTTTTTTATCATAATTGGTATGTTAGGGGAACTGAGGTATGAGTGCGAGAATCCAATAAATCAAAGTGGGGGGAAAAGTGGCAATTAAGTAATATATGTTTTAATTGAAAGAAAATGAAAAGAAAAGAAAGGAAAGCAAGGAAAAGAAAGGAAAGAAAAGAGAAGAAAGAAAGAGAAGAAAAAAAGAGGGAGAGGAAAGAAAGGAAAAGAAAGAAGAGAAAGAAAAGGAAAAAAGACCCAAGATTCCCAACAGATCAGCTGTTCATACTTTTGAATTTAGATAACATTTTAGAAAGATTTAATAAAAAAAGGACATTAATAGTGATGCACCAAATAGTTTATAATAATGCACCAAAACCTATATTACGTTTCTTTGAAAAGCGCAACCCTGTGTAAAATACCCGACACTCTTTTAATAATTTCGCTTTACCTAAAGTCCAAACAAATTATATAGGAGTTTAAGTTATAGAGGAGCGAAATGCTGGAACGCAATTTTACAGGAACTAAAATCCATAGGGTGGGGCTGACCCGTGGGAGGAGAGTCAATGAGACTCTCGGTTTACAATACACCTCTCTGTTAATTATTTACTTTTTTATTCATTATTGTTAATTTGTATTTTGTACATTATAATAATTCATGTTTTCTTTGTTTATTATTAGTTGTTGATTTTTTTATGTTTTGTTATCTTTTGTTACTGGATTTTGTGTGTGATATAATTTGTATATTTTTTATCAGTCACGAACTTTCTGGAAAAAAAAACCGATAGGCTGAGAGAGTTACCGTGTTTAAATAAATAAATGAAATGAAATGAAATGAAAGAGGAGGAGTGGGGGTAAAAGAGAGAGGGGTTGTTGGATGGAGTCGTCTCGTCGAGGGAGCAAGAAAGACACGGGTAAATGTTGCTGTGTCGGGTCAGCTGTGTCGGTATTCTTGCTCGATCCTCGTGTACTATATCATTGCAGAAGTTTGAAGTCGGTGAGATGTATATTGTCGGTCGGCCGACGTACAAGTTTTTTTTCCTTACGAACTGTGACTTTTTATCCGCTGTGACGACTTCGACAGCGACTTCAACTACAATACTTGTATTTTCTCGAAGTTTCACTTTCCTATAATATCAGCTAAAGAAATCAGGGGTTTAACATTTTCGGGGAAACTAAATTCAAACAAGAGTCGAAAACGGTACAACGAATCGTCTTCTTTCTCTATAAATTTAAGGAAACGTCTAAGGTTCTGAATTCAGATAAGGATTAAGAGTCGAGAACAGTACACCGAAGCATATGCTTTTTCTCATAATTTAGTGAAACGTCAAAGCTTCCGCGCTTCGCGCGGGAGGGGGGGGGGAGAAGTGAATTCAGATAAGGATTAGCAGTCGAGAATAATACATCGAATCGTCTGCTTTTTCTCATAATTTAATGAAACGTCAAGGCTTCGGGAGGGGGAGAAACTGAATTCAGACAAGGATTAGCAGTCGAAAACGGTACAGCAAAATAATGGTCTATTTGCTTTCTCTAATAATTTAATGAAACGTCAAAACTTCCGCGCTTCGCGCGGGAGGGGAGAGAATTAAATTCATATAAGGATTAAGAGTCGAGAACAGTTAAACGAATCATCTACTATCTTTAATAATTTAATGAAACGCCAAAACTTCGGGAGAACTGAATTCAGATAAGGATTAAGAGTCGAGAACCCCGGTCGAGAACAATTCACCGAATCGTCTGCTTTTTCTCATAATTTAATGAAACGTCAAAGCTTCGGGAGGGGGAGAAACTGAATTCAGACAAGGATTAACAGTCGAGAACGGTACAGCAAATCGTCTTCTTTTTATAATAATTTAAGGAAATTAACCTCTATAAGCTTCCGCGCTTTGCGCGGGAGGCCTTCCCCCCCCCCCTTATAATGAGCGCGCTTTGCGCGATCTTTAAGTGATTCACTTGCTCACTCCTGCCCCTCCCTAACATAAGATCCTAGCTCCTAGCTGACGAAATAATTCGTAAATTTGTAAATTTTTCGTCGAGGAAGATCACCATTTGCGCATACGCAAGTACTATAGATAGTCCATAGGAAAAACTAGCCTTCGGCACCGGGTTTATAGGGTTAAATTGGTAAATATTGGGACATTAATTTTGTCGGTAATTGATGGCTAGTTTTGTCGGTAATCGTTGGCCTCTACACATCCAGGCGCGGATCCAGGATTTCTTAGGGGAGGGGGCCCAACATTTTTTTTTTTTGCTCCCGAAAATTTGAAAATCGCGCCGGCCGAAAAGTCGCTCAGTGAGGGGGGGGGGGGGATCCGCCACTGTCTACACCACCCCCCCCCCACCCCCACTGGAAACGGTCTAGCGACGCCCCTGCTTATACCCCCTCCTCCCCCCCCCCCCCCCCCCCCGCTTATTCGCCGGCTGGCTGATTCGGTGTTAACTTATTTTCTCACGAATTGATGAAAGAAAAAATTAGTGAGAGACAATTAAAGACGGAGAAAAGAGCCTATAGAATAGGACCCCGTTATATAGTTCCCAGTCATGCATCCAGTTGCCATCTACATGCACCTAGCCTATAGATATGACATCTCCTGCATTCAATAATTGCCTTATAACCATGCATGTGAGACTGAATTTCGCTCCTCGCTCGCCATAATTATTGCTATCGAGAGGGTGGGGCGGGGACGGGGGTGATCGATGGAGATTACCCCGCGCATCACCTTTGCTTGCCCCCAATTAAAGGTAATACAAAGTTTTGGTATGAGGTCATGAATTTGGTTTAAATGAACATATTGGAAGCATATGCGATCCTACAATATTCAGTGATCGTTGTCGTGGTTGAAATCGAGTCTAAAGTTATAAAAATGTAAATTATAAACTCTTTGTGTTGTATAGCTCCCTCTCAAGGTTAAGATATTACTTAAGCTATAAAACTATGTTTCTTGACTAAAATTGACCGATTAGCTATTCCCGTTGGGAAATTATATCACAACTACATATTCTGAGATTTTCATGGTCGCAGCTACCATTGCACGGCCGTAGGCGCTATTTGAAATTTATCAACATTTACCGGGAGCACCGGTAAATTTTTATATTCAATTTTTCTCGAAAGTAGAAGTCTTTTAAGGGCTAAATTTTTTAGTGCTTATAATACATCCACAGGGGCATCTAAATTATATCAAAATTGTAAAGATTCACTATCCACCCAATTTTCAAAATTTCCCAAAACTTTGTATTACCTTTAAACAAACATGCCAAGCATGGGTGTCGATCCTGGGGGGGGGGGGGGGGGGGGGGGATATATCCCCCCAATATTTCAGGTGGGGGGATGGCTTGTACAATCATCCCCCCCCCCCCCAATAATTCACCATCACAAATAAAAAAAATGAAGAGAAAATGAACGATGAGAGCCCGATGAGAGTAGTTAATGTAGTTAATCTCATTTTCATAATACATACATAATATATAAATAGAAAACGAAGTAAATGAAACAACTGTATATAAGAAGAAAAAAAATTGATATCTCGCTCATACGGCTTCATCAGGAATTGATGGATTTATTCAATTTATTCATTCAACAGCATCTTAGAAATGCACTGTGCGTCAAATGCAAAGCCGCAGCGTTAAAAAGCAACGAGCTAATTGTTAAGCGCGAAGCGCAAAACAGAAGTAGAGAGTGGAAGAAAGAGATAGTGAGGGACTGAGAGGGTACAGGCGCGTAGCCAGGGGGCGGGGGCGGTCGCCCCCCCCCCCCAACAAAAAAGAAAGAAGAAAAGAAGAGGACGTAGGAAGAAAAAGAATCAAGAACGGTATAACGAATCGTCTTCTTTCTCTAATAATTTAATGAAACGTCAACTCGGCTTCCGCGCTTCGCGCGGGGAGGGGGGGGGGGGGGGGGGGAGGGGAGAAAACATAATCCAGACAAGAATTAAGACGAGAGAATGGTACAACGAATCGTCTTCTTTCTTTAATAATTCAATGAAACGTCAAAGCTTCCGCGCTACGCGGAAAGAGGGTAGCTTGATTCAAACAAGGATTAAGAGTCGAGAACGTTATAACGAATCGTCTTCTTTCTCTAATAATTAAATGAAACGTCAAAGCTTCCGCGCTACACGCGGGAGGGGGGCTGAATTCAGACAAGGATTAAGAGTCGAGAATAGTACAAACAATCGTCTTCTTTCTTTAATAATTTAATGAAATGTCAATGCTTCCGCGCTACGCGCGATGGAAGGGGAGCTTAATTCAAACAAGGATTAAGAGTCGAGAACGGTACAACGAATCGTCTTCTTTCTCGAATAATTTAATGAAACGTCAAAGCTTCCCCCTCCCTGTACCCTCCCCCCCCCCCCCCCCCCCCCGTACGCGCTTGAGAGGATAACCCAGGTAGCAAGCCCATATTCTCTAACATGTTATCTTTATTGAGCCGAGGGTGACTTGAAAAAGTTAATAACTTGGAAGGGAGGGTGCAACCTGCAGCCACACGCTTCTACCTCTTGGTTGCTTTGATCCATTGCCGAAAATATTTTGACACCTATCATCCCCCAACCACGGATACAAATAAATACCCCTGATGCCAAGGGCCAGCTCTGTTTCTTAAAACGTGTCAATATTATTAGATGCTAAATTTCAATAAATATATCATTATGCCAAATATATGTTCTCAGCTATATACCACTATATAACAGTTGTAACGTGTCCGGCCGGGTAACTTAATTGTTATTGATAGCAATCTTTTCATTCTCATAGTCATACATTGCTCACGATCAGGGAGAGACAGCAACAACAACAAAACTTCTGGAAAAAAAGGGGGAACACTCACTGCAGGCAACCCCGCTCATTTGGTGAATAACTTTCGAGCGTAATGGTTATGGAGTCGAGGGCGGGGCCGCGGGAGTGCCGAGTGGGGCGGGCTATCCTGCGAGCATTTCCTACATCGCATCACACACAATCATGCACAGTACAGCGACTAATTCGATCATACCGTACCCTCATCACTCGTGGGTTGCAGACGTCAGACGTACAGTCGACTAAAACTAAAAGTAAGAGCAACTTTGTCATTATCTGACTTTTTAACTTGATTCATTAGACTATAAAGTAGCGTGTTAGCATTGGTGTGGAAGATTATGAATGAAACACGGCGAAAGAGCGAGAGTAGGCCTATAATCAGATAATTTATAAATTAAATTTGGAAACCGGGTTTGGAAAAGGAATGCGGAAACCAATGCAAAACATGACGGAATGAAGCACGCCTTGTTGCTGTGCGGTGCGAAAGTAATTCGATACAGCTAGGGTAGAGCATTATTTAAAGGCACACTGTCCTACTTGTAGCTACTTGCTCCCTCTATATAGAAAACTTCCCAAATCGTGCCTGCTGGTCCCCCATGATCCTCTTTTTCTTATGTTAAATGAGAGCTGAGTTAATGAGATAGCCACCTGTCACAGTGACCTCCATGGCTCACTGGGTGGTCTAATCCCTTCTTGCTGAAGTAGTAAAGCCTCCTTTTAATTTCTACATTTTGCTGTTTGGTTCAGTAGCTTTAGGGCGTGTTTATGCTTCACTTTTTCTGGCCAGAATCAGGCATCAGTTAAGCGTTTAGTTTAAAACACGGTTGCGTCCATGCTCACTTTTAATCACCGAAAAACGGCGATCAAGATCGCCGATCGTAAGCTCACAAAAAGATGCGTTTACAATTTGTAAACGCGTTTATATGGGGTCAACGCACTGACCTCTAGTGGGTCTACGTAGCATGCACAGTGAAGGTTTGCGAATCCAGCTGGAAGACCAATTAAGGCCACACAGGGAGAATTGCCTGGAGAAGCCAGAGAAGTAAGCATAAACAGTACACCGTGGAACTGCGATTACGATGAGCGTTTATGATGAGCGTTACAAATCGCTGATTCTGCCTTCAAAATTTAAGCTTAAACGCACCCTTAGTCAGATTCAGAGCCCTAGCTATATAGAACCAAGGACATGAACAGATTCCTGCACTCAATAACGTGCACATAATCTGTTACATGAGGGGGGGGGGGTATACTCAGATTTGGTTTTGACTGGGGGGGATGCCGCTCAGCCTCAAAACCCCTACTCAGTATTAGGGGTCATTATGGAGAAGAATAGACCTATTTTGGGGTGTTTACATGAAAATTTTGACAAAACTGACCCATTTTTTAAAGGGTAGACTGGTACATGTATTTTTGTCAAAAGTCGGACCCATGTTTAGGGATTTTTTTGTGAAAAAGTTGCCCATGAAAGCTGCATACCCTGTATGTCTTAAATATTTGAGTACCCCTAAAAAAAGGAAAAGGGGCATCTGAAGGAAATATGGTACTTACTAGAATTAAGGAAAAGGGACATGTCTTAAAATACTAGTGGCATTAGAAAGTGAAGGGGGGAGTACACTTATTAAAAAGGAAAAGGAGCACGAGTCAAAGTAAAAAGGGGGCATCAGGGCATTTATCAGATGTTAAAAGGGGCATTTTGAAAAGGGGGAGGGGCTCATATAAAAAAGGAAAAGGGGCTCTTATCACAGGTGAATAGTGGCATTTAAGAGAAAATGAAGGAGGTTTGTATTGAGTAGGGAAAAGTACACTTATTAAAAAGGACAAGGGGCACGGGTCAAAGTACAAAAAAAGGGGGGCATGGGGGAATTCATCAGATGTTAAAATGGGGAGGGGTTCATATAAATAAGGAAAAGGGGCACTTATCCAAAGGAAATATGGTACTTATTAGAAAGGAAAAGGGGCACGTGTTCAATTAAAAGGGGCACTTATCAGAGGTGGAAAGTGGCATTTAAGAGAAAGTGAAGGGGGTTCTTATCAAAAAGGAAAAAGGGCAAAAATATCAGAGGTGAACAGGGGAATTTCTCACACCTGAAAAGAGAGGAAAAGGACAGTTATTAGAAAAGAAAAGGGGCATTTGTCCTATGTAAATGGGAGCTTTTTGTGGGTATAGGCCCCTTCCTGAAAACAGTGCCCCCCCCCCCATCAGTACACCAGTTGTAATTAGTATTACTATAGTATAGGTATAAGAATAAATGTGTGAGTGTGTTGTTGGTGTTGTATTTTTGACATTCCGTTATATTTGACTATTTACGTCTCTAGTTTGCATGGTTCTATAGTTTAATCAGTTGAGGCCGTATAGTCAAGTCACAATAGTTCATACGTTGTAGCTAATTGGAAACCCTGCGCTTGTGCTTCACTGGTCCTCTGCTGCAGGGATCATATGGCAGGCTTATATCAATCCTTCAGATCTAGTCCACTCAGACGTCACTTGAGTTTCCTTAATGTTTTGTTGAATGTGGGTGTATGTTTTTACTTTTATTATGCCTCCGCCACCGAAGGTGGTGCCGGAGGCATCATGTTTTCGGGTTGTCCGTCCGTACGTCCGTCCCGTTTGACCGTTATCACAATATCTCAAGAACCATTTAAGATTTAAACTTAAGACTCGGGAATAGTATTTATCACCATAGGAAGACGATCTGATTAGATTTTGGAGTACGTAGGTCAAAGGTCACAGGTCACAGAGGTCAACTTATGAAATTCCTTGTATTGAGTCCTTAAATTGGCACCATGTTGAGAGAAACGAAATGGCTAATTTTCAACAAAGTTCTTAATATTGTAAAACTTTTCAATACAGACTATATCAATTTCAAAACTATAATTGTTTACAACTAGAGCCTAATGAAATATTCCTAAAGCAATCAAGCAGTAAAGTAAAAATATATATAATTGTTGCCGATCTGCTGAAGATACGGTCATCAACTCGGCCCTTTAAATAGTTCCAGTTGCATATGCAGGTATAGACAGAGTCCGTAGTACAGCTTAGTGAGCTTATGTATATAGGGAACTCGTGACCTTAATCAAGCTGATTTTTAATGAGTTACAGAAAATAGGGGCATTTACACTGTGTTCCAAACACGCCAAAAAATGCCAAACCGGAGCCTGACCGCGATGTTACCAAGGGCAACTACGCTTTACCGGCAGACATGCCAAGCCCGAAACATTCCAAAACGAAGTGTGATCTTTTGGCATGTTTTGGCGTGTTTTGGCGTGTTTGGCAAGTATAAACGCTCGCAGTTGTAACATCGCGATGTTAGGTCACTTGACTTTAGGAGCGGAGCTAGCTGCCGTCCTTGAAGAAAATGATAGAACGATGTAAACAAAGAATAACATTTATAAGAGAAGGTGATAGAATGATAAAAAAACAAAGAATAATATAAGAGAAGGTAATAGAAGGAATAAATAAAGAATAACATAAGGAAACACAAAGGAGGAAGTGAAGAACGATGTAAACAAAGAATAACATAAGGAAACACAGAAAGAGGAAGTGATAGAAGGAAGAAACAAAGAACAACATAAGGAAAGACAGAAAGAGAAAGTGATAGAATGATAAAAAATCAAAGAATAACATAAGAGAAGGTAATAGAAGGAATAAATAAAGAATAACATAAGGAAACACAAAGGAGGAAGTGATAGAAGGAAGAAACAAAGAATAACATAAGGAAACACAGAAAGAGAAAGTGATAGAAGGAAGTGATAAAGAATAACATAAGAGAAGGTGCTAGAAGGAAAAACAAAGAAAAGGAAAGACAGAAAGAGGAAAGTTTTTGCATCGGAGTGCCGCGCATGCGCATTACGAACTAAAACACGCCAAAACATCACTGAGCTTTTCAGTCGGTGATGTTTCCGCACAAGTGTAAACGGGCGCGCGAAACATCGCGATTTTTCAAAATGAGGTATTTGACAGTATAAATGCGCCTGATGTGATTCTTTAATTCTATTTTAATTTCAGTTTTGATAAACCTGAAGCTAAAGTGACCGTCAACATATTGACAATATCAACAGTCGGCAAGCATGGCAGCTGGAGACGGTCTGATTGTAGAGAATTCCATCAAGGTGCTCACCCAGAATGGAGTTTGTCAGATTGACCTTTGCCTCGGTGACATCACAAAGCTGAAGAAGGAAGATGGTGTTGATGTCCTTGTGGTGTCGGCTTTCAGAGGTGAGTCCTGCTTGGGGCATGAATGTACACCCTTTCATTATGATTGAGCCATCTGATCCATTACGATTTCAAACTGGAGAATAACCATAGCATACATGAATGATGGGGGTTGTATGTCCATGCAGATCGATGCTTAACAATGTGTATCAGAGGCTACTCGTTCGTTCGTGTCTCCTTAGATCAAGATTAATGTAATCTTGATCTTCGGAGTAGTTGCTACAACCGGCCGTGTCAGACACGTTGCCCCGGGGTGCGATATAGGACTCTTGTAGCGTGCCCCCATTTAAAACAATTATACAATTACAGTTAACATTACATTTAATTAATAGTATGAAACTATTAAAATTACTCTCATGTTACTGGAAAAAATATTGCATATATATATATTATGAATCAATTGATTTGGTAGATCCAGTTTGATGGCACAAGCACGGCACTACTGGACAGAGATCCTAATAATTACAAAGCTTGGTCTTGTTGCTCTGTTCGCCAGCAGTTTAAGGATATGGAATCCCGCGGCACATTACTCACAAGAGTTCTAAGAAGCCAAGCTTATACAGAGCCTATAATAAGTAATGTTGTGCATGTACCACCCACCCGATCGATCAAAAACTCATAACTCATAACTCATAACTGAATTTAAAAAAATGAAAATGAAGAAAAAAAAGAAGAAATTAAAAAGAAAAGAAAAATACGAAATGGTAATCATCTAAAATTTCATAGTTGTGATAAACATCTATACAGATTTATCAAGCACCAAAAATATTTAATATCATGTTCAAGAAAAGGATATATACACTCTGTATTCTTCTTTCGTGTCCTCAAAAGCTCTGCCAGGCCTTGGCACACTGAAGAGCCTTCTCATTTGCTGCCACCAGGTCTTCCAGGCAGCATTGGTCAATTAGGAGTGGACATCTTAATAGGTGTGACATGGATTGCACGGATGTTCCACACTCGCAGTTGGTGTCTGTGTCGTCAGTATATCCCCATTTATTCATGTTGTATTTACATGTATATCGCCCCACCCCTGTGCGAAGCCTATTGAGGGACTTCCACGTCTTCCAATCACATCTATGGCCAGCTGTTCCTTGGTCGGGATTGGTAGCTTTTCATGGTGGTGGTTTTCACAACGTTTCTCTTCCCACAAGATCACTCTGGTTGAATGAGGAGGTTGTGACAGTGGCTGGACTGTATGAAGGCAGCTTTTCCTTGAGAGGCTACTTGGACTGAGATACATGGATTAAACCAAAACATGCATCAAATAGCATTAACCATCACTGAAGCGATTTGTCAATTATCCGGTCCACCATAAGTTTTAAAAGATTTATGAATTATTGCATGCAAAATACGAAATTAAAGAAATTACATGGATAAATTACTGTTTGAAACCAACTCTTGTATAATCAGTTTAAAAGTCTCTGTAGCCTCCCTAGCCCAGGACAAGGGAAAAGGTTTCCTCCCTCTCTAAAATCTAAACCTCAGATCTTTTAGATTTATTTCTTTGTTACTCTTGTTTATTCAGGTAGTTATGTTGAATCCAGAACGTCTGTGATCGGGGCGCTCAGCCGTGGCCTTAACGTCTCTGTAGCCACCCTAGCCCAGGACAAGGAAGAAGACCTACGTTCCCTGTACTCTTGCTGGTGGTCCAAGCCTCTACCAGACCATCTAGCCTTCAGGAGGGTGCTGTGCTTTGAGACCAGAGGGTACGTAGAACCTTCTTTTATTTTTCACTTCAAATATATGTATAAGGGATATTTAAGCGGAACAAAATGAAATTGTCATTTATTATGTAAAATGTAAAATTTAAGCTGTAACTTCCTTCTTATCTTCTCTCTCTTCTTTTCTTTCTGTAACTGTCTTTACCTTATATTATCTTTATCTTTCCTCTGTCCTACGTTGTGAATGTAAGGGATATTTAAGCGGAACAAAATGAAATTGTCCTTTATTATGTAGAATGTAAAATTCAAGCTGTAATTCCTTCTTCTTATCTTCTCTCTCTCCTTTTCTTCCTGTAACTGTCTTTACCTTATGTTATCTTTATCTTTCCTCTGTCCTCTGTTGTGAATGTATGTACTATGTTTTTATACAAAATAAGTTTGTATCTTGTTTATGCTAAGTATTTATTAGGGGATCATTCTCATCAAGCCAATTTTGGCTTTCACGATTCCTCACATCCTTTTATCTTATGTTGATAATGAACGACCATGTATATACTTCTGATGTTTTTTAAAAGAGAGTGAAATAAATAAATGATTAAATAATTAAATGATTAATAACATAGATTTCTTTACATCAGTTTTGACAATGACACCAAGATGTATCAGTAGCTGTTTGTAAGAGAATTAATTTAGTTTCATTTTTTATCAGAAGTTGTTATCAGAAGTTTCCCTCTAATTTCCAAGGACTATCTAACGTACATCATCAGGCTGTGACAAATCGCCCATTTAAAGTGTACTTGTATAATATACGCACTCTGCACTAATCAATCGTGACCACTACTAGAGACACCACACCAAAATATTCTTGTTTAGTTGCTGAAAAGGCTTTCAACAAGTTTGCAGTACTAGCAATGACGTCATGTAGACGAGACATAGTCAATGACACAAAGCTGGTCCCTTTAATGGTATTAAACTGTATATAATTATTATAGCGACATTGACTCATTCATCCTGTCTGTAATCGTTGGATCAGTAGAAAGCATGTTATGAAGAAATAAGTCTGTTGTGAAGTCTATTAACTATGGGACCTGAGGAAGGATACAAAGGATTTTTGTTTTATCAATAACAGGATGTTGCAAAGGAACTCATAATTAGCTTCTTTGTTTTCATGTACCGAGCAGAACTAGTACTGAGGGATACTGTCTTTGAAAATCCTGAAGACAAGGAGGAAGAGTGTATGATCTTGTCTTTAATAATAATAATAATAATACGTAATAGCTCGTTCTTATATAGCGCTTTTCAGGACCGCAGGCCCTCGGATATATATTATTACCCCTGTCATCGAATTCAGACTAATAACCCGCACACAATGTATGCACATTCTCCACTCCCTCGGGGAGCATTCCAGCCAGGCATCATTCACAAGTGCACACTTGCTAATCTAATTAGCTTTCGCAGTACCGGGTACCCATTTGTACAACTCACTCCAAGATTTTAAATAAATGATTTGTCAAACACAGTTTCATGTGATTCATTTGAGACTGTCACACATTTTTCTATGGAAAAGCGTGTAATAGTTTCCAGTACTATCCAATATTTTGTATGTATACGATGGCAGCAGTGCGTTTAGAGATAAATGCGCTTATACTGCGTGTGGGTTCATACATGTGTAGCTCTGAAAATTGATGCATGTAGAGGCACTAAAGTAATCGAGCCTATTAGACTTGGATTTATTTGTCGGTGATAATGACACAAAACAATGTGAAATGAATTTGTTATAAATATCAAATAACAAGGATCTAGGAGTTTTGTTGTATAAAAAAAGATTCTACCCATTCTTGTTGAGGCTGTTTATGCATATGCATACCGCATCAATTCCAGTTGAATGAACTCATGTGCATGCAACATATGCATAGCAGGCTGCTTGTAATAGCTAGGCTTCACTTGTAAGGATGGTGTTGATCTGAGGACAACCAGCTGAGAATGTGTGCATCCCTCATTTTTTATTAGGGGCTCTTGTAAATTTTAGATTATAATCTGTCTCTAAGAAGAAAAATTGTCTGTTGTATTCAAAACAAAGATTGACAGAAAAGGAGATATGTGTTTTACACCCATTTGCTGGAGATCTTTGCTTATAATACATCCACAGGGGCATCCAAATATACCAAAATTGTAAAGAATTACTTTATAGCCAATTTTCTAAATTTTCAGAAACTTTGTATTACCTTTAATGGTTGTTTCAAGCTGACACGTCATAAAACTACAATTTTAAAGGTAAAAATTATGAATTAATGAGATCAAGTGTGATTATTTGTTGCTTTTGAATTATCCAGAAAACGTTATGATGGCCGCCCTCAGGAGCTGGTCGCAAACGTATTTCGCTGCTTGGTATCTATACTGAAGAATGAGGATGGTTCTGTCATCAGTCCACTTCTCAATACTGGAGATCAGGTAAGCTAATTAAGTTAGAAAAAAAAGGTCAAAAGTAACACATTGTTCAAGGGGCAGTGGGCTGGATGTAAGCAGGTGTTCCTCAAACTCTACAAAACAACCCTCCATTTTGTATGTTACCATGGAAATCATTTCTCTCTTTACAGGGTTATGGTGAAGCTAGCATGTTGAAAGGCATGGTTCAAGGGGCAGTGGGCTGGATGAAAGCTGGGCTTCCTCTCCGGGTTTTGAAGCTGGTCCTCTATTGCAAGGTACAGGATGGGAAACTGCAGAAGCACTCCCTCAGATGCTTTGATACTGTCATAGCGACTTTCAACGAACTCAAGGAGCGCTTTGAGATGCAGCTACTTCTACCAAAGGTAACTAAGTAGTTAACATTTCTCAAAGATACTGTTGGTTCCTAAAACTCTCTTGTAGAAGAAATGCACACACAAAAAAAAGGAAGAATAGAAAAACATCCTAAAGGCATTGAAAGGAGTGTGGGCCCATGAAATCGCAAAAAATGTTTAAATGCAGACACTCTTCTCAAATGCTGTTAAATCTTACATTTTAAGAAAAACACAATATTTATTGTGTAAAAGAGAAAAAAATTATTTGATTTTAAACAGCAAGGTTCATTCAAAATATATGTGCTATCATTTTTTTTTAGCTAGTCTAGCTCGATTTGAACTAACCAAAACATTTTGAGTAGCTGAGCAGTGTGTTTAGGCATGTGACACCATAAGTCACTTCTTGCCCTTTCCTTTCTTTCTGCTCTTTCAAAACACATGTACTATGTATTATATCTCAATGTAACCCACTGTATTTTATTATCTGTACCGTAATTAACGTTGTATAAACCGCCCTCGTGTATTAACCGCACCCATCTTTTTCGCCCTAAAAACAGTAGAGGACCTACATGTAGGATAGAACCTTGTGGTATGCCGTGTATATAGAAGAAAAATTGGAGGAATTATTTTTATCAACTACATATTGAAATCTATCAGAAAGATTACTTTCAAACCAAGATGACAGACAAATTTGAGTGTTGTTCTAGTTTCCGAGTGGTGAGTCAACACACCGATTACTGAGCTGGGAGACATTGCCAGGCATAGCGCCAGGTGGAGGGGCATAAATCAAAACTTTTTTTTTTTTTTTTGTGTACCGTGTATAAACTTTGAATTTTTTTTCGGCGGCAAAAAGGTGCAGTTAATACATCGTTAATTACGGTAAACAGTTATTTTTCATGGTGAATAAATAAAACAAACAAACAAACAAACATGTTCTGCTTTAATATTAATCCATGTAATAATCTAGGCTGATGCTATTTTATACCAAACAAATTATTAAAAATGGACATCGATCATCTTGATGTTTATATCTTTCAGGAGATTCCTCTGGAGTTTGACATCTACCTGTCATTCAGTGAGGAGGATGGAGCGGTTGCCAAGGAGATCAGGGAGAAGCTGACGGGAGCTAAGGATGGCATCCGTATCTATGACGGCTCCCAGCAGACCTTGGATAAGGACAGCGTCTTCCAGCAGGACATGTACTCTGTCATGATGAAGAGTGCCAGGGTTGTCACAGGTGAGGAGGTTGTCCCGACAACAGTGTCACATGACATATAAACATGTACATATTGTGTGTGGAAATTAATTTAAAAGTATTAACTCTAGATTAAGGTTCTTCCAGGAGCTTTTCAGAATAACATATTCTTCATGGAATTGTGATATACATCCTTTGTTATCCCTGTAGGCCTCCATGTCCTTCCAAAATTTGTTTGCATCAATTAGGCAATACAATGATCTGTGGAACAGGGAACAGACATTGTCAATATGATATTAGTTTGTGTGTTAATTGTGCTGTTACTATGAAATACAGAGGTTACGTATTCATGCAATACCTTTAGAAGAACAGAGTCATGGGGGAAATTATGACAATTATTACAATGCTGATATCATTGCACATTAAAGGTAAAATAGTGTGTGTGTGTGTGTGTGCGTTTTTTGTTCTAAGACTCGCCTTAGTTATGATCTTTAGGCTCAATAAAGCAATGACAATCCACATGCCTTTAGAAACCTCACCCTCCTCCAATACCCTAATGTTACCCAGTCTGTATAACTCTTTAACTATACCTGTGCCCTCCACTTCATCCAATGGCTCAGTGGTAGAGCAGTAATCTTGTAACTGGGAGGTCCTGGGTTCCAAACCAAGTTGATGCGCTTTTGCCCTCTGGTAAGGCATTAATCCTTGTTACCAAGTCCCTCAGAGAGGACTTTGTTCCTCTGGTTGTTTACTTACAAGCATATACATGCTTTCTTAGCAGTCAGGTAAAACAATCATTGATCACCATCATCATCCTTTGAGTCCGTACAATGAATGCTTCTTTATGCCATGACTAACATCATGTTGACAGTAGGAAGGCCTTTTGGTCATTGGAATTTCTTGGTCTTTTTTCCGCCCCGGCATCCTGGGGAAGTGAGGTAGTCTATGTGCTCTTAATTCCTATATAATTACATGTAATTATCGATTATATTTCAATTGTGCTTTATGCTATTTACTTTGTACTTGTGATTGAGTGATTGCTAAATAAATCATAATGAAGATACTGTATGACCCTTACATTCTACTTGTATGATACTTGTATGTCTTTCACCCAATAGAGGAAGAAGAAGGAGAAGACTAATTTAGTTTAATGTCCATCATCTTTATGTAGACTAGCACATCTTTTCATTACTTTGCTAACCTTTTTACATTCTTTAACTCTGTTTTTCCCCTTTCTCTGTCTGTAGTATTGACTCCCAACTATCTTCAGAACAAGGCATGTGTCGACCAATACAACATCGCCCTCTGTTGTAACCGCAGGGCTAACCGTGATGTGCTGGCTCCAGTCTACGTGCACTCAGTAGATATCATGCCTACGTACATGGGACTTGTGCAGTACGTGGATTGCAGGTGTGTTCAGAGCTCCAGTCTTTACTTCATTTTGGTCCAGATTTAGAGTTGCATGATGTTTGAAATTATAACAGCATGTTAGCTTTTTCACTGAATTATGTTTTGTACTCAAATCATTATAACAATAATACTAATAATAGATTTATATAGCGCCTTTTCAAAAGGATACAAGGCGCTGTATTTTGAACTATCATCAATTTAAGAGGAGTTGTACAGGTAAGTTTTCAGTTTGAATTTTTAAGAAATCTATTGAAGCACTGTTTCTTAAGAACGAGGGGAGTTTGTTCCAGAGACGTGGGGCTAAGGACTGAAAGGAGTTGAAACCAGCCTGTTAATGGGATTTGGGAATGTTAAAGGTAGGAGCTGATGAAGACCCAAGAGAATATGATGTTCTCTGTTGCTGAAAGAGTGAGGAAATGTATACAGGAAGGGTGGTCGACATAGATGTGAACGTTTGAACAAGTATCCAGTATTGTATTCTATCAGCAACTGAGAGCCAGTGTAGTTCATGCAACATTGGAGCAGCATGGGACCATTTCGGTTTTTGATAGATTAGACAAGCACATTATGCCGTTTATCCTGTATCGTACTACTTTTTAGAAGAGTTCTAGAGAAGTGCACTTGAAAGTTCAAAAGTAAAGTGATGTCCTATTCTGCAGACCCACTGATCCTTGTAAAATCCAGACTGCCTCCTAGGTCAGTGTGTCTTTCTCTGTCATAGCACGCACAGTTCATGGTGGTGAAAGTTTTCTGCACTCTCTTACGATGGGAATATGTCACACAGCTCAAAGTTTTGAATACTTTGAAGGTATTGGGTATCTTTGCCTCAGATTCTAAACAAAATCCTGGATTTAGCTCATGCTGCAATCATAATCATAATTATAAACCTACAGGTCAGTCAGGAATCCCATGACTTTTACAAGCCAATCGCATGTCTGATTATCAAGATATTTATGATTGGAAATCAAAATTTCAAAAACCGTTTTCCCCAACAGTTTTATAACTCTACAGTCTATTGGAGGAAATAAAACCGGCCACTCAACGATTTTTACTTTTGAGGCACTTCATGATCATTTTGAAGCGCAATTTTTTCAGGGCTTTAATATTACACCATATCACAGACACTGATAACACGTAGGGCCATGCATCTCAGATTTAACATTGTTCAACGATGCCTTTAACCAATGTTCTCTTTCTCCTGCAGGCCTGCTGATCAGTCTAAGATCCAGGAAGCATGCTCGCAGGTGGGCGTTTCCCTCTCTGTCAAACTCCACAAGGAGCTGGCGGTGGCACATTTTGATCCGCTCTATTACGATATCTTCCTCTCGTACTCCCACTGTGACAGCGACAAGGCTAATCGGTTCGTGGAGACCTTCAAGAGCCTCGCCCCTGAGCTGAAGATCTTCTTTGATGTACAAGAGTTAAAGACTGGTGAGTCTGATTGTGATAATATTTGATAATATTTAGCTTTTATATAGCGCTTAATACAAATGTCTCTAAGCGCTTTACAAATATACTATTACCCCAGTCATTGGAATCAGTGCTTGCCCGCACACACTGTGTGCACAATGTCCACTCCCTGGGGAGCATTCCAACCAGGCGTTACTTGACGCTCAAAAACTGTTTGACGAACAATGACGGTCGCATCCTACCGGGTACCCATTTCACACCTGGGTGGAGAGTAGCAAGTGCAGGTTAATATCTTGTAATGTGAATAAGCCTCCTAATTGGAGTGCAGATCAAGAGTTCTTCTGTCATTTTTAACTTGGAAGTTCAGTAATTACAAGGTTATTGGTCTATTACTAGGTATCGTAATATTATAATACAATGTAGTAATATAATGTCTTGTTTACTCAGAGTAGCCTCATCAGTATTTATACAGTTCTCCCTGCATGAGGGCCCTGCAATCAAATTATTACCCCAGCTTTAGTTGAGCCACCATGAAAAGGTGCTCAAGCATGTAATTAATTTCTTCCTAGTACCCTTTAACCTCACCTGAGTGGAGTATGGCAAATGTAGATAAATGTTTTGCCAGAAGACATTAGTGCTGTGGAATATGGAAGATGGTGAACATAAAAACTCCTGCCACTCATCCTCTCCAAGCGCTATAGTTTCTCTTAGAACTATAAGCTAAGAAAGATAACCAACAGTCTTTTTCAGGACTACACACCCTCAAGAAAGATTACGGAGAGTCCTTTTCAGGACTCCTCAATCCTCCCTCTCTCTCACATGGTGCACCCGCAAGACTACTGTATATGAAAAGGATCATCCTTTAAGAAATTTCACATGATCTGAGCTATAGTAAAGCTATCAAATATGTACAGTGGTGCATATAGGGTATACTAGAATATTGACGTAGTTGGTAACATATGTGACAAAATACTGTTGAGTTGTCCAATTATCAGTGTGCAGAATATGCAGTAGCAGAGGGTTGATTATCTCCTGTGAGACTAGCATAGCCCATTGAGGTATTTAACTGTCCTTCAAAATCACTTTTAATAATAGATGGTATACAAACGCAGATTTCTAAGAAAAAGGCCGCCGATATTTTGGTTATTTAGAATCAAAATTTTCTGTTAACCGTACTTTAACCAGGACCTCTTTAATATATACGGTTTTCTAAATCATTCATACCCCTCGTAAATTTTCTTTTTCTTTTTTCATAACTCAATAATGAATGTCGGCCTAGTTAAATCTGGACCTTTGTTGAATACTTTTTGATGTAAGCTTTAAAATATCACATTCCCAAGAATAAATCGGGATGAAGCAATTTTTCACATACTTAAAAAATTACAAAACTTGGTAGGAATACCTATGAATAATTTAGTTGTTAACTGTAAAAGTTGGTGCCATCAAGACTATAACATTCAGGGGTGGTAGTCTGTTGCTTGACACTATTGCTGTTCCCCTTGCCTCGATCATCCCTTTGGACGTCATGGGGTGTATTTCACAAAGACTAAGATCGACTTTAAGTTGGACTTAACTATGGCAGGCCGTTCAAGCCACTAGTTCTTCTAACCATTCCTGGCATTGGTTTCTCAAGAGATGTATACATCGTGGTCACAAATCTACAGAATTTACATGTTTTTGATAGTTCATCATTGAAGGAAAAAACATTATCTAAAGATCATACATGTAAGTAAGAGACCAACAGTGAGAGCAACCAGTGGCATGAGTGCATGGCCTGCCAAGTCCAACTTAAAGTCAATCTTAGTCTTTGTGAAACACCTTCATGGTTTTATTGCAGGCAAATCCTGGCAGCGTACCCTCTATCACTCTATCGATGGCTCTCAGTGTATGCTGGCTCTCATATCCACCCCGTACCTCAAGTCAGCTGTCTGCCAGGAAGAGTTTGCTTTGGCTCAGGCCAAGCACTTTTCAAAAGTGAGGGTTCATCATTTCTTTAGGCATGTCAGCCTGCCTGCGGTCACATTTGGTTTCTCATTAGCATGGTCGTAGCCGGATCACATCTTGTATTGAAAACTTATACACATTTCATTTCATTTCTTTAAGCTTGTCAGCCTATATGCCTGCGGTCACATTTGGTTTCTCATTAGCATGGTCGTAGCCGGATCACATCTTGTATTGAAAACTAACACATTACATTTCATTTCATTTCTTTAAGCATGTCAGCCTGCCTGCGGTCACACCCGGTTTCTCATTAGCACAGTCATAGCCGGATCGCATCTTGTATTGAAAACTTAACACACACTAACTAATTCATATGTATAGTGAATCTCAGTTATTGTCATGAAATCTCTTGTCGTAAAGAAATTTTGGATTGCATTTGCATCCAGTAAATATAGATCGAGTGCTCAACCTTGTAATTGAAAACAAGTCAGAAATATCTAGGAACCAGCCATCTACTGCTTGCCGGGCAGCGGCTCTTCTACCAGGCCACCACTGGTCCATGGCACAGTCATGATGAACTGGAAACGAATAGACCTACCTTGACTTGTTTTTCAATTGCAAGATTGAGCACGAGATCATTATTTACTGGATGGAACCCACAAATTTCTTTACAACAATTGAAAAATCTCCAAGGAAGCCTAATATTCAAAGGAGATCTCTTGTTGTGCCCTCAGGAAGACGGCATTTACTGTATGTAGCTACATGTACATTTCAACAAACATTTACATCGGCCCCAACATAAGTTTCATTCCACCGCTGTCAGTCAAACGGCATGTAGATAAACATGCTCCTTTAGTTTCAAAACGAGTAGTTGCCCGTCCTCATGTGCCATGGTACACGGACGAGGTTAGAGCAGCAAAGAAGCAAAGAAGAAAAGCACAGAAACGATGGTCTAGAACACGATCTGATCACGATCTGAATGAGTACAAGAAAGCTCGCAATGCAGCATTGTATGTTTTGAATGCTGCTCACAGAACTTATCATAAAGATTTAGTAACACATAACAAAGATGACTCAAAGAGCTTGTTCACTGTCATCAAATCTCTGCTTAATGTTTCAAACAAACAACCAGTGATGCCATGTAACATTGATAAGAAGATTTTTGTGAATGACTTAGGAAAATTCTTTCATGACAAGGTTCTAAATATTCACAGTGACATTCAAACTAGCATAGGTTCGATGGATAGAATTGATACTGATTCATCAAGTCTTATTCCAGTACCTGATGGTATCAAGCTTGATAAGTTTAAACTTTTATCTGAACAGGAAGTAGGGAAACTTGTGATGAAGCTCAGCAAGAAGTCTTGTTCTGCTGATCCGATTCCAACAAAGATTCTCTTGCAATATATTGATGTTATACTACCTGTGTTCACATCCATGATCAATGTCTCCTTGTCTACGGGCCACTTTCCTAAAGAATGGAAAGTCTCACTTGTTTCACCATTGTTGAAAAAACCATGGCTTGATGTTGAATTTGTTAATCTTAGACCCATAAGTAACCTACAATACATTTCTAAATTGGTAGAAGGTGCAGCCACACAACAGATTTTACAGTTTCTTAACAGTAATTCACTCCTTCCATCCAATCAGTCTGCATATAGACAGTTTCATAGTACAGAAACAGCACTACTCAGGATCAAGAGTGATATTCTGATTGCAATGGACAGACAGAAAATCACTCTCCTGTTATTACTTGACTTGAGTAGTGCCTTTGACACTATTGAGCATTCTAGATTACTAGATATTTTGAAGATATGCTGCGGTATCGACGGTGTTGCTCTCGGCTGGATCGAGTCATACTTGTCTGATCGACATCAAAAAGTTAAAATTGATGGCATTGTCTCTGACTCTTTCCAGGTGCCCTTTGGTGTGCCACAGGGCTCTCGGCTCGGCCCTTTGCTTTTTATGTTATACACGAGTAATCTAATCTAATCAAGAGCACTCAGGATAATTTTCCTGAAGTCTCCTGTCACTGTTATGCAGACGACACACAATTATTTTTATCCTTTAGACCATCCACTAGTACTCAAGATGCAAGTGTTTCAATGTTGGAAAAATGTGTTAATTTTATTCATAGATGGATGCTTAACAATAATCTTAAGCTAAACGATAGTAAGAGTGAATTTTTGGTTATAGGAACTCCACAACAGATCTCAAAAATAAGCATTGACGGTGTAAGAGTTGGATCCTCCAATGTGATACCCTCTGTTACAGCAAGGAATTTAGGAGTATACTTTGATACTAATTTAACCATGGAAACGCATGTTAAAAATATATGCAAATCAACATACTATCTTCTGTACAATCTCAGACGTATCCGCAAATATTTTGATCAAGAAAGTATGAAATTGGTTGTACACGCTCTTATCACAAGTAAGCTTGATTATTGTAACGGGTTGCTGTTTGGAATGCCTGATTCTCTGATAGCTAAGTTACAAAGAGTACAAAATGCATGTGCAAGACTTGTCTATCGTCGGTCGAAATTCACTTCAACCGCACCTCTTCTGAGAGAACTCCACTGGTTGCCAGTCCGTCAAAGAATCTCATTCAAAATATTGTTAATCGTCTATAAATCATTGAGCGGTCAAGCCCCTAATTACATCAAAGAATTACTTCAACTCAAAGTCCAATCACACAGTCATAGCCTGCGCAGTTCCACAGATAAATTACTGTTTCAGATTCCCCATGGCAAAACTAAAGTAACTCTTGGGGACCGTGCTTTTGCTATTGCCGCCCCCAAATTATGGAATAGCTTGCCAATAGAAATAAGAAGCACTCCATCTCTCAATGTTTTTAAATCCAATTTAAAAACTTATTTGTTCAACTGAGTGATCTTATTTTGTAGAATTTAGTAAAAAGGAGCTCTTAACCAGCGCAGCTGAATATATTTTGTATAAAAGCTGCGCTATATAAATCTATTATTATTATTATTATTATTAGTGCTTGATTCATTTCCATTTTCAAATGACACCTTATTTATGATGAATTCATGATTTTGTCAGACAATGCAATAACCATCAGACAAATGCACCAATATATCATGTGTATTTGCTGTTTTGACAATTTGATTTCATTATTTTCTAATCAGTATGAATCGTTTCATAGTGTTCATTGGTTTGACATTGATCATTTTATAAAGCCCATGATAGCTATAGGTACTTGGAAATATAGCCAGGTCTAGTTTAGGTCTGCAATCAAGAACATAGGGCAAAGCAAGGAATATTACTCAGGAGCCTGTGTTTTACACTAAAAACATGAACACAAATTAAACCGACCTTGTTCATCACAGTGTGAAATGTGTGGTAATGAGAGACTTGGCATCCATACAATATTTCTACAGTTAATAAGTATCAGGTAACACTGTTGCCCTTTAGTTTATTTTGTAAAAGTCTTTGTTAATTTGTTTGAATAACGTTGTGGATCAGAATTTAACCCTATTGTAGCTGTTTCACTTACATTCCGCGCAAGTATCAAACACTTTTAAACCGAGCGTTCTTTAGCTTTGATAGTTCATACTGATTTGATTCATTCTCTACAGGGCAAACAGTTTCTAAAGTTGATCTCTATCTGCTTTGAAGAACGAGACACGTACATCCAACCCAAGTTCCCTCGTTTCCATTGTTCAAGAGAATAGAATGTCTTTGAAGACCGTATGTCATTTGTCCAGAAGATGGATTGCACAGCGAATCTCGTGGCCTTGAAGAAGCAGACACCATTTAACCAGAGTTACCTCATATTCAATTGTTCAAGAGAATAGAATGTCTTTGAAGACCGTATGTCATTTGTCCAGAAGATGGATTGCACAGCGAATCTCGTGGCCTTGAAGAAGCAGACACCATTTAACCAGAGTTACCTCATATTCAATTGTTCAAGAGAATAGAATGTCTTTGAAGACCATATGTCATTTGTCCATCGGCCCAAAGGAGTGAAGATGGATTGCACATTGAATCTCAGGGCACGTTTGTTCAAGAAAGAATTAACCAAAGAATCTTCTTAATTTCATTCCACCACAGGGCAAACAGCACCTACAGCTGATCCCCATTTGTCTCGAAAATCTGGACACCATCCAACCTGAGTTCACTCACATCCCGATGGTCAAGGGAACACCTGATGTCTTTGAAGATGTCGTCAAGGTCATTTGTCCAGCAGTCACTCAGTGGATCAAGGAAGAGGAGCTGGATGTAGGCAAGAATCTTGCTGCTATCTTTGACAAAGACAAGGTTTGGAATTCTTGATTTGAAAAAGATGCATTTGCTATAGTTCGTTTATATGCTCTTTCAAATGTACACATCACTTATTTTAAAGCCACACTGTACTACTTGTAGCTACTTGCTCCCTCTATATAGAAAACTTCCCCAATCGGCGCCTGTTGGTCCCCCATGATCCTCTTTTTCATATGTTAATTGAGAGCTGAGCAAATGAGATAGCCACTTGTCAGTGACCTCGCTGGGTGGTCTAATCCCTTCTGGCTGAACTAGTACAGCCGGCCTTTAAAGACAAACAATAATTCTAATCTCCTTCTTTCAGATTCCTACTATATCACCTGATGATGAGATGGAAGCACTTAGAGCAGCTCGGTTTCAGAAGAACTTTGGCACAAGTGACTCCCTCCTGAAAGAATCTACCTCATTTCCACCACCCCTCACGGACATCCTCCCACACACCTATGCCCACCCTCCTGAGCATCTCATCTTCAGCTTTCACAGCGAGGATGAGAAGTATGTTGACTTCATAGGGCGAGTCCTCAAGCAGGCAGCGCCGGGTTTGCAATTCAGCGCGGTGCCAAGTAACGTCCAGGAGAAGCTGGAAGATTTGGAGAAGGCCAACTGCATCGTACCCATCCTGTCCCCTCACTACCTGGAGAGCCCGGAATGTGCGCAGGAGTTCCACGTCGCCATCGGGAGGCAGAGGATCGCCAACCCCGACGTGCCGCTGATGCTCCCGATCCGAGTCCTTGAGATTCCTGAGAAACCCACCTACTTCCATCTAGTGGGTTGTGATGTCAGCGTGACCGATGCGATGTGGCCCAATCTAGCTGCTACCCTTGGTGACAGAGTGCATGATGCGATGAAGAAGGTTTCTGGAGGGACTGATCGACAGGCGCTACCCCATGCTGTCTGTATCCCTCTTGTGATGGCTGCTTACAAGATCTTGCAGAGATTAGCAGCAGACATGTAAGCTCTAACCTCATCCGCTAAAAGCAATAATTCACCTCTATCAACCTGTTCCTGTACGTTTAGACTTGATTTTAACATGTCTTTGCAACAAGATAGAGTACTTAATCATACTCTCTTCTTGAGTCTAGTAGATGAATAAAGAAAGGAAGGTTTGCACCTGCTTCCTCTTGAAGAAGAAAAAACAACACAGAGTGATGTTTTAAATCCAGGAATTCTTTAGATCTACAAAGATTTGTTAAGAACTTTTCAATGAAATGTGACTGACTGTATAAAAAGAAATAAATTTGATCAACATAACAAGGTATACAATTCCTACAGTTTTCAAAGAAACTAGTCTCTCATTTAATTATTTTGTTTCGGTTTCTGACTTGAAGTTCATCAGACTGCGCGGATTACCCTGCCCATGCAGCCCTGGTTAACATGATGCGACTGAGGGAGCAGGTGAAACAGGTCAACCAACCAGAGTACACAGATGACATCACACAGGTAATTACAAATGTCTTAACTTTATAGGCACCTGCTGCCATCAGTCACGCCCTTCGCACTTTGACTGCTTTCTTCTCTTCTCTGTATGGTTGCTCAATTGCCCCACCTGCAATTTTGCACAAAACAATATGCACACTTGACCCACATGAGGTAAATGGGTATCTTTCAGGAATCAAATTCATTTTAGATAATACAGTGCTATTAATGGCATCCATATGGTTAAGCTGGGGTAATAATTGTGGAGCGCCAGGATTCTGACAGACAAGTGCTATACAAGAACCCATTATCATTATCATTATTATCATTATCATTATGTCTGGCAGCCTTGACACTCCTGGCGCTACGCAAAAATAAATGTCAATTCAACCAGTTAATAAGACATACCAGTTTATGTTTTAACAACATCTTGAAATTTGTCTTTCTTTCTTCTAGAAACTTGTGGAGCTCACAGTTGGAGACAAGGCTTAGTTGTTCAAGAGCAGAGGTTGGTGAATTCAGCTGTGGTCATGGCTTTGTTCTCCGATCCTGACAAGTTTCAATTTAAGAGCGTAAAGCACTCTCCCTTAAGGTCAATGGATGCACTTGCCTTTTCAAGGTCACTTTGTGTAAGAAAAAAATTTAAAAATCAAAGTTTAAAACAGAGTTTATTATTTTCAAAATGTAGAATGGCATGTGTTACTTTTTTTTTTGCTTAAGGCTCAGAAAATCTTCATTTAGCAATCTCCTTCATTACAATTTTTTGTATTTCAAACTTTGAGCAGTGCCTTATTTGTATATTGTGAACTTATATTCATCCAAGTTAATTTTCAGTGAATATGTGAAGATATTCCTAGTGCAATTTGATATTAGTTTATAATCCATTCCTCTTTCCATTCCTAACAATGTATCATCTGTTAAGAGCAAGAAGGGCTTAAAGGGATAGTTGAGTTCTGTTTTCATACCGCAAATGCCTTCAAAGTGCATGGTTATTGCTCTTATTCTTATCTATGACATATCTAGTGCCCTTTTAGGACCTAAAATTGCTATAAAGGTAATTTTAGACCCCAAAATGTGTGAACTTCAGCAAATACGATCATACCAATTCAGCTCCACTTAAAAAAAAATATGGTGACCGTTAATTACTTAATTAATTAAAAATAACAATACATGGGCCGGCTGGTTGTACGTAATATAGCCAACACGAAAAAGCCAATAAAAAAGCCAACATCGACATTGGCTGAAATACAACGTAAAAGGCGCTATTTCGTTTTTTCAACAGCTTTTTCAAATTATTGAATATTTGTGGTGGTACACAAATATTATAAATCGTTATATCTATGGATATTTCACCCGTCTCTGAACCGATTTTGATCAAACAATTTGTCAATTAAATTGTATGTTCTTTCAAATTTGACACTTAGTTTTTCATATATCTCACACAAAAATTATTTTGTGTAGCGCCCTCTGCAACAGAACTCAACTATCCCTTTAACTGTATGTTGAAAGATTTGGCCAACACCCTTCTGTCTCCAAATAAACATCTTGTACACTTGGCATCCATCATGTAACCCCATTCCTTCTCTTACCTTCCTTTCCTAATTCCAATTCAAAGAAAGATTGAAAAGTGTATTGATTCCTCATGTTTATATTCCTGATTTGTTTGCTTTGATTTATCGGTCCTTTTGAAAATATCCTTGCTCGTTATTTTACTGAACAAAGCCATTGTGTTTTGAAGTTGTCGATTTTGGCTACAAATCAAGGACCATTTTAGGGGTGCACTTTTATGGCACCAGTATGCATCACAATATATTATGTTCCAAGAAGATAGTAGGTAGTTTGGAGGTGAAAGGTCAAAGCTAGGTCACAGGTCAATGAGGTCACTTTTCATAAGAACACATGTTTTGATACCAATTGTATGGCCATGCATATTATCATATGATCATTGTTATTCACATTTGATATATGATTCTAGGAGTTACGGGTATTGATACATGTATAGTTTGAGCATGAGTTTGTAAACGATTCGTGAAGACAGAAGAGGAGAATGTTCTCTATCAAGTAAAACATCAGATTTTTCAGAATACCTGCTCTCATTCTTTGGGGTGAGGTTCCTTTAATTTTTTTAAGGGATTCATGTTCATTTCAATTTCTAAAACCCAGATATTCCTTTTTTCTATGAAAAAAATGCAATAATAATGCTGATTAAAAAATGAAATGGTAAATATGTTTAATTTCATTTTATTGCGTTACAAGTTGATCCTTTTGTATTCCATATCTTTGTGTGAGGAAGTCTGAAAACTCTAGCTGTTAAAAGTAAGATTCATATTCATTGTCATAAGAAACTGAAATCGAGTGGAGTATAAACATTTATGTTGTTAGATGCATGTGCAGATGTCTGACTGTTACGACAGGGACTGTGCATCAAAAGAACTAAATTTAATTCTGAAATAAATTCTGAAATTACTGTGGCCAAACTGCTAGACAAATATACAATATGTTATTTCTGAGATATTTTAGATTGGAAAATTGTAAGCTATACAGGTAGAAAGAGGTTGATCTCTAGTATTTGATTTTTAAATATAAAATATTTTCTTGCTTAAAAGTTTGCAATATATACAAGGTTATCATCCAATGAAGTATTGAAATTGACACCTTCGAAGCTTTAACTATGATTTTTATGCCTCCGCCACCGAAGGTGGTGCCGGAGGCATCATGTTTTCGGGTTGTCCGTCCGTACGTTCGTCCGTACGTCCGTCCCGTTTGACCGTTATCACAATATCTCAAGAACCATTTAAGATTTAAACTTAAGACTCAGGAATAGTATTTATCACCATAGGAAGACGATCTGATTAGATTTTGGAGTACGTAGGTCAAAGGTCACAGGTCACAGAGGTCAACTTATGAAATTCCTTGTATTGAGTTTGTTAGCGCGATATCTCAAGAACCATTTGAGATTTAAACTTCAAACTTAAGGATAGTATGTATCACCATAGGAAGACGATCTGATTAGATTTTGGAGCACGTATGTCAAAGGTCAAGGGTCACAGAGGTCAACTTATGAAATTCCATATATTGAGATTGTTATCATGATATCTCAAGAACCACTGGAGATTTAAACTTCAAACTTAGTGATAGTGTGTATCACTATAGGAAAACAATCTGAGTAGATTTTGGAGCACGTAGGTCAAAGGTCAAGGGTCACAGAGGTCAACTTATGAAATTCCATACATTGAGATTGTTATCATAATATCTCAAGAACCACTGGAGATTTAAACTTCAAACTTAATGATAGTGTGTATCACCATAGGAAGACAATCTGATTAGATTTTGGAGCTCGTAGGTCAAAGGTCAAGGGTCACAGAGGTCAACTTATGAAATTCCATACATTGAGATTGTTATCATGATATCTCAAGAACCACTGGAGATTTAAACTCCAAACTTGTTTAAATTGCTCTATGGCGGAGGCATCATTTTCGACTGCGCGCAGTCAAAATTCCATCTAGTTTTTTTTAATAGGCTAGTTTCTCCACAATGAATGTACCTACATGCCATTAGATGGATCTTGACCCCCATATCCCTTTGAAAGGGGCATAGGGGGAAATATTGTGATAATTTGAATAAACACCAATTTCAGGCCAAAATGGTAAGGGCCGGGGTGGTTCAGCATTTTCGAGGAAAATATTATACTTTTTTTAATAGGCTAGTTTCCCCACAATCAATGAACATACATGCCATTAGATGGATCCTGACCCCCATATCCCTTTGAAAGGGGCATAGGGGCGAATATTGTAAAAATTTGAATTATCACAACTTTCGGTCCGAAATTAGAAGGTCCGGGGTGGCTCAGCATTTTGGAGGAAAATATATATTTTTTTTAATAGGTTAGTTTTCCCACAATGAATGTCCATACATGCCATTAGATGGATCTTGACCCCGATATCCCTTTGAAAGGGGCGTAGGGGCAAATATTGTGATAATTTGAATAAACACCAATTTCAGGCCAAATGGTAAGGGCCGGGGTGGTTCAGCATTTTCGAGGAAAATATTATATTTTTTGAATAGGCTAGTTTCCCCACAATCAATGTATATACATGCCATTAGATGGATCCTGACCCCCATATCCCTTTGGAAGGGGCGTAGGGGCAAATGTTGTAAAAATTTGAATACTCACAACTTTTGGGCCGAAATTAGAAGGTCCGGGGTGGTTCAGCATTTTGGAGGAAAATATATATTTTTTTAATAGGTTAGTTTCCCCACAATGAATGTCCATACATGCCATTAGATGGATCCTGACCCCCATATCCCTTTGAAAGGGGCGTAGTGGCAAATATTGTAAAAATTTTAATTATCACAACTTTCGTGCCGAAATTAGAAGGTCCGGGGTGGTTCAGCATTTTGGAGGAAAATATTTTTTTTTTTTAATAGGTTAGTTTCCCCACAATGAATGTCCATACATGCCATTAGATGGATCCTGACCCCCATATCCCTTTGGAAGGGGCGTAGGGGCAAATATTGTAAAAATTTGAATTATCACAACTTTTGGGCCGAAATTAGAAGGTCCGGGGTGGTTCAGCATTTTGGAGGAAAATATTTTTTTTTAATAGGTTAGTTTCCCCACAATGAATGTACATACATGCCATTAGATTGATCCTGACCCCCATATCCCTTTGAAAGGGGCGTAGGGGCAAATATTGTAAAAATATGAATTATCACAACTTTCGGGCCGAAATTAGAAGGTCCGGGGTGGTTCAGCATTTTGGAGGAAAATATTATTTTTTTTGAATAGGTTAGTTTCCCCACAATGAATGTCCATACATGCCATTAGATGGATCCTGACCCCCAATCCCTTTGAAAGGGGCGTAGGGGCAAATATTGTGATAATTTGAATAAACACCAATTTCAGGCCAAAATGGTAAGGGCCGGGGTGGTTCAGCATTTTCGAGGAAAATATTATATTTTTTGAATAGGCTAGTTTCCCCACAATGAATGTACATACATGCCATTAGATGGATCCTGATCCCCATATCCCTTTGGAAGGGGTGTAGGGGCAAATATTGTAAAAATTTGAATTATCACAACTTTCAGGCCGAAATTAGAAGGTCCGGGGTGGTTCAGCATTTTGGAGGAAAATATTTTTTTTTGATAGGTTAGTTTCCCCACAATGAATGTACATACATGCCATTAGATGGATCCTGACCCCCATATCCCTTTGGAAGGGTGTAGGGGCAAATATTGTAAAAATTTGAATTATCACAACTTTCGGGCCGAAATTAGAAGGTCCGGGGTGGTTCAGCATTTTGGAGGAAAATATTATTTTTTTTGAATAGGTTAGTTTCCCCACAATGAATGTCCATACATGCCATTAGATGGATCCTGACCCCCAATCCCTTTGAAAGGGGCGTAGGGGCAAATATTGTGATAATTTGAATAAACACCAATTTCAGGCCGAAATGGTAAGGGCCGGGTGGTTCAGCATTTTCGAGGAAAATATTATATTTTTTGAATAGGCTAGTTTCCCCACAATGAATGTACATACATGCCATTAGATGGATCCTGACCCCCATATCCCTTTGGAAGGGGTGTAGGGGCAAATATTGTAAAAATTTGAATTATCACAACTTTCAGGCCGAAATTAGAAGGTCCGGGGTGGTTCAGCATTTTGGAGGAAAATATTATATTTTTTGAATAGGCTAGTTTCCCCACAATGAATGTACATACATGCCATTAGATGGATCCTGACCCCCATATCCCTTTGAAAGGGGTGTAGGGGCAAATATTGTAAAATTTGAATTATCACAACTTTCAGGCCGAAATTAGAAGGTCCGGGGTGGTTCAGCATTTTGGAGGAAAATATTTTTTTTTTTCAATAGGCTAGTTTCCCCACAATGAATGTCCATACATGCCATTAGATGGATCCTGACCCCCATATCCCTTTGAAAGGGGCGTAGGGGCAAATATTGTGATAATTTGAATAAACACCAATTTCAGGCCGAAATGGTAAGGGCCGGGGTGGTTCAGCATTTTCGAGGAAAATATTATATTTTTTGAATAGGCTAGTTTCCCCACAATGAATGTCC